GGCATTATATATGTTGAACTTGACATTTAAAAATATGCAGTAATTAGCAATGGTATAAGTTTCATTGCAGTTCATGTTAATTCTTGCTTTTACTTAAAATACACAAAATAAACATGAGTTTATTTAATTGATATGCACATTGCTATAAACATACAGAAATGTAAGATAAATCACGAATTTCATTGAAATTTAAAAAAAGGCGATGTAATGAACAAAACACGTGAAATCTTTACAGAGGAAATACACCATTTTAACAAGGTCCATAAATTACTATATATGCCTTGAACTACTCTTGACTTTCTAGTTCCTAGACAAACTAACTTTGTCTCTGTTTTATAAGTTAATGTAAAAGTAAGGGAAATTGAAAAGATTTTGATCAGGTTAACATTGGATATGAAAATCAAGGTCAGTGGTAGGAAGATATCAGATTGCGGATGCATGCATTCGGGCCAGGGTGTATGTAGGTAAGTGACACTGTTGGTCTAGTTAATGCATTTAAGTATGTTATAAGAAACAGTTTTCTGAATTTTTACACACTTTATATTTTTTGCTATACTAGTAAGATTCTTTGAGGAATAATTTTTTTAAAAATATGAAATGATGTAATACTGGTATAGACATATCAGATTACATGTATACAGGCGGAGGTAAGTTAGAACCCATGTCTAAGCATTAAGGACTAAGTTTATAAGTCACTGAGTATTTAGGTCAAGATTAGTATTTATATCGTTTAAGTCTAGACATGGTCAAACAAAAATGTAAAGAAGAGAATATTGAAGCATTGTTCTCACATTGAAATCTCTGAGGCGTAGCTCTGCTTTATATTTTACAAAACAAAAATGTTTCTTTCAATATGCCTCCTAAAATGTTACAATATCAAAAAGAAAATGTTAAAATGTTGCATAAGAAATTACAAAATTCTAAAATGTTATATAAGAAATGAACAAACTTCCAAACTGGCATAGACAATGTTGCAAAATTCTAAAATGATTGAATAACTAAAATCTCCACACAAAAAATCCGGGTGAGAGCACTGGGACAACTAGTTTTTAGGTTTCAATATGGTGATTTTACCTCATTGTAATTCTCCTTAAAAAAGTAATCTTGACTCTGCTAATTTACCTGTGATTTTTGTCATTTAAATTATCTGTATTAGGGATGTCTTTATGTGTTTGACTTTAGGTCTTATTTTCAGTTTTTACGATTTCGCATGTTTGGTTAAAATTTGTAACGCCTTATTAAGGGGTATCTTTTATATATTTGACTTTTGGTCTTAATTTCAGTTTTTATGATTTCAAAAGTTTGATTTCGGCTATTTCTTCATTGAGCAGCGACATGAAAGCTATTGGTGCATTGATGAAACTGATATTAAACTTGCAAACTTTCTTTTATCTCATTTCCCCGATAAATGAATCTATTCATGGCACTTAAGTTACTATAAGGCAGACGGGCTACTTAGAATTCAAAATTAAAATTTGATTCACGTAGGCTATGATTAATAAATCACATTCAAGATATTTGCCAATAATTTATGATTTTCGGCTCAATAAAGCGTTTAAAAAGATCCATAAAAGTCTAAAGGATTTTAAAATTCTTTTCTTCTACTCTATACACCGTAACATGGGTCTGGGGCATTTTATAAAGTTTTACATAAAACCCCGCCATATGAAAAGTTTGTTTGTATCAAAAGTTTTTAACTACGCAATTATTGCCGAAGATTGATGGGCAATAATAGGTTGGTATCTGGTATATAACTTTCTACGTTTCAGTAGCTCTCAATGGACGATACCTTAGGCTGATAAGAACCTATATAATAAAGTCGATCTCTTAAAAATGATTTTCATTTGGTTGTTTTCCCATTTTTTCACTGATTTCTTTAAATTTCACGGTCATATTGTAGTAACTTTGATATGCATTGTATAATGATCCTTTGTTGTTATTTTCAAATACACGTCTGCTGCAAAATATTGCATTATGGGAGATTATATAATTATGTGATTGGGACTTTTAATCAAACTTTCCCATTGCACCAGTATTGATTTACAAATATACTTTTTATCAATAGTATTATTTAAATCAAGAACATTTTTATGGTGATGATCAAAGTTTTCTTGATTTTGAACTGTTTTTGTTTGAAAATTTGATGCATATCGAATTTTTCAAATTTAATTTCAAAATATGTAAGGGACGAGTTGAAATCATAAACTTTTGATCAGAGGGAGTTCAATAGTGTTTCCGGCCTGTCAATTTTCATAATCAGTATTTGAATTTGAATGTTCAATTTTGGAAATTTTGAATTTGAACTGATAATGAAGGACCTATTGAAAAGCATTGAAAACCATGGGAGTAACCCGCCTAATATTTGTTGATTGATTGCTTTTATACGACAACGGAATTTTCAATGCTTGATTATATATCAGCCTTTATTATCAGGCCATTCTCTAGTTCATCAGGATTGGCTCACACTTCCCTTGTTCATTTTAGATCGTTGTGTGTTCCAAAAGTAGATGAATATTGATACAGTATAATAGTGATGACTCCCGTTCAATAGTTATCAATGCATTCTACATTCCCAGGGTTATTTTTCAAATATAGCGACTGGTGCATGATGTTTGTATATGATTTGTTTTATTTTAGTTGTGATGATATTGATGAAAATCAATTTGACTAATACATTAACTGACAGATGTACAGTGTACATCTATTGTGAACGTCCCAAATGTCTGAGATAAATCATTCGGAATTGTTTGATAATGGTATAATTCACTTTTGATTGAGATACGTGATACTTTAAATCAAATGTCATATAATGCATTATGTCATTAAATTTATCTTTTAATGGCTCTATTCTTGTTCCAAACTTATACAACTTATATCGAACTTAGATCATGTTCCAGCAAATAGCTATCGATAGGTTAGACCCATTGAAACAAGCTTAACTGTTAAAAGGATTTGAACAATACTGGCACGAATCGATATAAATTAGTGGTAGTCACCGCATATCTTCCTCTGATTTATCGTATCCCCCTATTGTTAAATTTATATAATTTCATCAATCATCCATCAATCTAAGTTTATCCATGCTCTGAAAAATAACATTTTTTGATTTTAGATTATTTCGCAGTTGTCGATTTTTCCTGGTATTTTCAGATGGATTTAATTGTTTATTGGCACGTAACAAAAGTATCTTAAGATTTTATTGTAAGGTTCTCTGCGTTTGATTTGTTGAGATTTATAAAGTGTAAACATTATTGGCAATCAATACTCATTAAACGAGGGACAAGTTTTTAGCATGTTTCCGGAACAATCATCGATATGCCTCATCGGTGAAGGTCTATTAATGTACCATATTTGTTACAATTTCCTAAATACCGATTTTGATTTTGCGATGAGTCTTTTTTCGGTTATTAGTGATCTATAATTTGTTTAGTCTTTATCACATGTAACATTGGCATTGCAGGAGAAAAACATGAACATTTTGCATTGTTAAAGTTGGATTGAATATTACTCCAGCTCACCCAGGGTACAGCTATAGCCTAAAGGCACATAAGCCCACAGGCCAGGTGTCAGGTACTTTCGATCTACACAACCTTATTGTTCAGTATATATACTAGGAAAATAACATGGCAGTTCATTCCATATTTGACCTATGACACACTTTAAACTCACTCGTTCTTCTTTAAAAGATTTACTTTATTATTACATAATGCATCTTTGCGTTCATCCGACCGACGGGAGCCGAGTGAACAAAGATGTATATAATGTGAAGTATGAAAATCAAATACAGTAGCACCAATCTGAATGTTACTGGGAAAAGCATAAAGTGTTCAGATTAGAAGGTCCTCACACTTCAAGGTTTCTGAATATTTGGATAAGGGAGGTGTTCAGAATAGAGAGGTGTTCAGATAAGAGAGGTGTTCAGATTAGATAGGTGTTCAGATTAGAGAGGTGTTCAGAATAGAGAGGTATTCAGATAAGAGAGGTGCTCAGATAAGGGAGGTGTTCAGATTAGAGAGGTGTTCAGAATAGAGAGGTATTCAGATAAGAGAGGTGCTCAGATAAGGGAGGTGTTCAGATTGGAGAGCTGTTCAGATTAGAGAGGTGTTCAGATTAGAGAGGTATTCAGATAAGGGAGGTGTTCAGATTAGAGAGGTGTTTAGATTAAAGACATGTTCAGATTAGAGAGGTTCTACTGTAGATGTACCTCATAGAAACAAGCTATCACCTTGAAAAAGTTGAGTTAAACTGAAATGAATTGAGAAGTAACTTCTTTTGAATTTCTTGCATAGTCCATATTAATAGAAATACCCAATTTATTTTCTCTGGGAGTAAAGTCTTAAAAATTGAAAAAAATGATTCTAAAAACTTATTATAGGTACAATTATGATAAATAACCTTGTGTGATGGCCTAAATTGATCACATATACAATATGGTTCAATTTAGAAATGTTTCGATCTCCTCAATTACCCTTAAGGGACAGTTCATTGAAAAATTACATTCTCAATTCCCGGGGCATTTTTCCTGGCAAATTATTTCGGAGTTGTCAAAAAGTTAACTTTGAAAAAAGCATTGATTTAAAGCCTGCTTTTGTCATTTTGATACCATATTTGTAAGAATACGTATTTTTGTGTGTGGATTGAAATATAATTGGTAATAAATTCGAAAATAAATTCTCAGATTTGGTCATATTTTCGAGGGCAATTGTCAAATCATTAAATGCTCTTATTAATGCCGGCGTTCAATTATGACATACCTTGATGCACGATTCAATATCTTTGCCAAGTTTAAACATTATTGAGCAAAGTTAATGGTGTCCCAGTTGTAATAATTCTTTCATCCCGAATCTGTTAGTTCATATCCAAAATTTGATTTAACATACATGAATATGTCAAACAATATAGGAACAAATAGTTACATCTAACAAACAATAGTTTATACTCGGTCAAAATGTGATAATAAGTAACATATTAAAAAACTTCACATTCTTATCTATTTCCAGGATATACGCAAAGTTGTAGCACCACTTCTGAAAAGTTTCCAGGGTGAAATAGATGCACTTTCCAAGCGGAGTAAAGCTGCGGAAGCTGCCTTCCTTAATGTTTACAAGAAACTCATAGATGTCCCAGGTTTGTACATTTGTACATGTTCATCATTCTTGCATGTATATATGAAGGTTTTTCATTAACTGAAATGTTTTTGGCTGTTCATTTGTATTTACTTGGTTGATGTAAAATTTTGTATTCTAAATGAGATTGTTTATTTTCTAAACAGTAAGTTGGTAATTGAAATGATGCTGTCTTGCCTCCTTGATATGATGTTTTCTATTTATCACATCATATCTTGCACTAAAACTTTCTTTATATGAGTTAATTCATTGATGAATAAAACCAAAATGCCATCTATTATTTGTCATCAGCACAATGATGCATCATGGTCTATTGATAATTGTTGTCTGCTATGTCTATTGCATTATGGGATAACATTATCCCAGATCCGTCTGCATGTTATCTCTGTTGCATTATGGGATATCTCTACCTCCAGATCCAGTGCCTGCCCTGGAGTTTGCCCAGGGAATACAGAAAAAGGCTCAAAAAGTTCAAGACTTAGAAATTGAGAACACAAAACTGCGGGAAACCTTAGCAGAATACAATGCTGAGTTTGCAGACGTCAAAAATCAAGGTTTGCGTTTATTCTTGTTTCTTAATCTTTTCACAAGGAAGAAAATAAATATATTTTTGTTGTTCATGGTATATTTATAGAAACAAACTTTCATATCCTTAGTCATATTTTCTCCAAGGTTACATCCTTTTCCTACCTTTTGATATTTTGAATGAGCACCGTATCATAATTTCTGAAAGGGAAATATTTGTTGAGAAAAGTACACGTATCCATAATAAATTCTTGACTTTTTCTCCTCATTAGCTGACTATTATACACTGTTGCAAGTATCACTGCATTTTGGGATAACATTATATCAGATCCGTCTGCTATGTCTGTTGCATTATGGGATACCTCTACCTCAAGATACTGTTGCAAGTGTCATGTCATAAATTATGAATCAGTCCCCCTTCTTTACATTTTCAGAAGTGACCATAAAGTCTCTCAAAGACAAACTTAAGGAGCATGAAGAGAAGCTAGAACAAACAATACAGGTATGTAAAGAACTAATAAATTAATCTTTAGATACTCCAGGGATCTTCAGCATGATAGAGCCACTGATCTTGAAAAGTATATGCCTACCTGTTAGAAAATCGAAAATTACATGGCAGTCTGATGAAAAATTTGAAATTACATGGCAGTCTGTTGAAAAATTGAAAATTACGTACCAGTCATTGAAAATTTGAAAATTTCATGTCAGTCTGTTGAAAATTTGAAATTACATGGCTACGTGTTGAAAATTTGTAAATTACATACCAGTCTGTTGAAAAATTGAAAATTACATACCAGTCATTGAAAATTTGAAAATTACATGGCAGTCTGTTGAAAATTTGAGATGACATGCCAGTCTGTTGAAAATATGAAAATTACATGGCAGTCTGTTGAAAATTTGAAATGACATGCCTGGCCTGTTGAAAATTTGAAAATTACATATGAGTCATTGAAAATTTGGAAATTACATGGCAGTCTGTTGAAAATTTGAAAATTACATGTCAGTCTGTTGAAAAATTGAAAATTACATACCAGTCATTGAAAATTTGAAAATTACATGTCAGTCTGTTGAAAATTTGAAAATTACATGTCAGTCATTGAAAATTTGAAAATTACATGTCAGTCATTGAAAATTTGAAAATTACATGCCAGTCTGTTAAAAAATTAAAAATTACATGCCAGACTATTCAAAATAGGAAATGGCATGCCTGGCCTGTTGAAAATTTGAAATTACATGTCAGCATGTTGAATAAAACTTGAAGAGGTCATTGAACTCTCCATGGATTCCTCTACAAAATGTGCCATCTATCTTCTTTCATAAAGATGTGAAATGTCGGCAGAAAAATATTTCAGAAAATATTTTTGAAAACTTGGTACTGTAATTAAGGTTGGCACATACACATACATTTGTACATACAGCCTCAAAAGTCACCCACATAGGAACACCTTAATGGACCAAATCAACAATTCTGTGTTAGACAGGTTTAATTGATACATATGTCTTTTATTCATATATTTGACTTTCATAGAGTTTACAATCAAATCAGTATAAAAAACTGTGAATTTCCATAAAACAATGAGTGTTGAATGTATAATTGATGAAATGTATATTGTGTATATTGTTTTAATGGTAAGATATAATTCAATAAAAAAAATTGATTTACCAACAACCTTATTTCAGGAACTGCCATTATTTAGAAATCACCTTTTAAATCACGATTGTAAATGTTACGTTTGTAGCTAAATAATATTGATTGCTCAATTGTCATATTTGGTGTTCTCACGATCTGAGTTCGATAATATTGGAAAATTATTTCATGTTTGAGGGTAATACATAATTTGTCAATTTGGGTTTCTTGTCAGAGAAACCAAGTTCTTGTTCATTTGATTTTAAGTGAAATTTAATCGTGTATTGGTGAAGAATTGCCGATATTGTAGAAAGGCTTAGCGAAGGTTCAATTGATTAATTGATCGTCCCTTGCGACAAAAGTTATGAAAATATCACTTTTGTTTAATTTGCTGTATTATGGCGAACAAATCAAATGTACTGGTGACGTCATGATAAAAAGCCGCCAGGTAGACGACAAGATACTGTCTTGATATCTTTCGGGGAATTTTGGATCAAGTTTATATTAAGGTCGAAACATTTATTGAAGAACTTGTCTGTTTTGAAAGGGTGGAATCCTCTACTTGGCCTGACTACCACTTATAGGTTTGCCATCAAAAATATTTCTCTTTTCATGCTTAATTTGCTGTTTTTCTCTCAAAAACTTGACTGAAACATCCAATTTTTTAACATTTCTTTACAATTAAGCATCGATACTTCATGCTTTGTTAGATCATTTCATGCAGTTTTCTCTCTTTGTTTCTTAATTTAATGATTGAAAATATGTCATCTAAAACATGGGAGCGTTATTTCTATTGCATCGTAAACAGAGGCACAGATTTATCGAGTCTCAATATCATCTATCGGGAGAAAGTTCTTCGATAATCTTGGCCACCTTTGAGAAAGTAAAATGAACAAGTTTTTTCATATATTCACGATCATATAGGAAAGTGAGGAATTTCGAGAAATTATTGAATTTTGGAAAAGCAGAATAATCATAAATAAAGGGTCAATTTTGAAAGAAAAAATCTCATAAAAAAAACAGAATTTGAATATTTTAGATTCAAGAAATTTAGATATTTTTTCAGAATTGACTTACAAGGTGACAATGTCAAACAGTGATCTTTGGGTTTTTCAAGGTGCAGAATTGTCCTTATTTCATCAAAGTTTTACAATACCACATACATGTAGTTTTACAATACCACATACATGTAGTTTTACAATACCACATACATGTAGTTTAACAGTACCGCATACATGTAGTTTTACAATACCACATACATGTACTTTGATATTTTGACGTTTTTACGGGGTGAAAACAGATTTTCAGCAGGCCTTCATGTTATTTACAATTTGTTAACAGGGTGAAAATAACCCTCTTACTCTTAAACATTGATACCCAAGTATATTTTTGTGAAATAGATCCCAAGTATTTGCTATTTATGCCAAATCTTAAATGTACTAAGTAGGCCAAAAAATGTTTCCCTATTCCACCATAAGTGTTGAAACGTTGTTGTAGTCTCCAACTTTTTGTAATCGCTAGTTGGTGTTTGACATTCAGCATCTGTAACAAATGGCATGTGGTGACATTTTGCATATTAGCTCATATTATAATTACAACAAAGAATGGGTACCACTTTTGGCCCACCCTGTGAATGGATACCAATTTTGGCCCACCCTGTGTAATGATTTGTTTAATTCACTATGTTCAGTAATTTGTGATGTGTCATTTCCAGTCGATTGATTTTTCACCGAAAACTAATAGAGATCAATGTGCTACAAAGTATCTGTGATTTGTTTGACTTATAAATTATTCCAAATGTGTATCGTAGGATATTCATCACTGGTATTACATTTGCTTTATATTAAGATGATTAAATACACTTATCTGTGATCGCAATTAGTTTCAAATTATCAGATATCCAAATATAAGAATTATGAAAGATTAATGTGTTCAAGTTACAATGTGGATGACACCAAAATAGGTGCATAGCCTGCCATGATAATTAGCTATGATAACTTAAACTGTGATATGTAGCTCAGTTTCCTTTTATTATGTCACCACTCGTATAGTTTCCAACTTTTTTGTTGACGGTGTTTTGCATTTGGTGGTTGGCGGTTGGTGTTCGGTTTCTGTAACAAATGGCAACTTCTGACGTTTTGCATTTTTTGTATGTGATTTTCAATACCCTACAGGTACAAGTTTCAATTCACCAAATATCTGAAGGGAGTTTGGAATTTTCCTTTGTAGCTATTTGAGACAACCGTTTAATATGTTTCTCGTTGATTCTGCAAGTTATATTTCAAAAATCACAATTTAGTATGTTATTCAGAAGGATATTGAGTAGCTTTCCATCATCAAAAAGTGTCATTTATGTGTCTATTTAGTTGTTAACGATGAACTGGATACAATTGAGATAAACTTTCAAATTAGAGTTCAAGTATTATTAATTCCAAGTTACTCAAATTTTTCATTTTCTTGGAAAATGATAAAATAGAATCTTAACTTTCAGGGGAGAACGAAAGAGAAAGAAAAACAGCTTCAGAGAAGTTTTGCTGAGAAAGAGCATCAGCTCCAAGAGACTCAACTTTCTGTTGCTAAGCAACTGGGAGAGTCAGAACAGAAAGTTTCAACTTTACAAAGTGGTAAGTCCTTAAACTCTAACAAGTGACTGTTCTTGTAAATAATAATTGAGTTAAAAGAATTATTTAGATTAAGAACAGCATGTATTGTAAGTTAAATATAGAATAATTTATTTGTTTATATTATGCAATGGTTTCTTTTTTGATGTACTGTGTTTTTTTGTAAGACAATAATATGTTATATTAGTTTAGTTGATCTTATGATTTGTCAAGAAAAACATTACCCAATTTGATTATTATTGAAGAATCCGTTTAGGTAACTAAATCCAGGGATCACCGATCAATAAACAAATAGCAACGGGGTATGATATCCTGCGTCATGATTGGTCCTTGCCTTAGGGCTTTGCCAATTCTACACCGATAATTCAATATTTGTTAAAAATCACTGCACATAATTTTATTGATCACTGGGTAATAAATAAAGACAAAGGTGGATATGAAATATCCCCTTCAAACTGTGATTCAACTGATCAAAATTTTTCATTTCAGTTTCTCCTAAATATTGAATTGATTTTGAAATTATTTTTGATAACATGACAAAATCCGATGTCATCTTTTGCTACAATGAGATTCATGATTAGTAAGTCCTCTAGCTAAATCCGTTGAAGACTGAGTATTGATTGAATTTTCCCGAGATCTGACGACAATGTCGATATTTGAGATATTCTATATAAACTCTAAGGGCTTTTAAGATATTTTCAAATTATTGTATAGATTTTTATATCGATCAATCCAAGATATGAATTTTCTTATGTTTTCTTTGGCAAGCTATAATTTTATATTAAACATAATTTGGTTTACTTTTCCAATATTGAAGTTGTTCAGATATAAGAATATTGGTAGTACACATGCTGCCCCTGATAATTCACAATTAAGTTTTATTTGGAGTTCATGTTTGTGCATTTCGTTCCATTGTAACGTTGCAATTATAATTTTTGTTACTTGATAGAAGGCTTTTGCTCATTTTCATATTCAAAGCCATTTCTGGTTTATGAGGATGAGAGAAAATTATAGCATATATCCATCATGATACCTTATATTATTTATTTTTTAAATGTTGTTATTTAGAATGTCTCTCATCAAAGATTTGATATACATTATCACCATGACAACAGGTATGCAAATCAATGAGTTTTTTTCGCACAATTTGCATTGGAATATTGAAAAATATTTGACGACTTAAGAGAGGCGTATAAGGCTGACCTAGCCGGAAGCTATTAAAATCATGTTATTATACTGAGCAATTAAATTCCTACTTAGATAATACTTATTATTTTGTAACTCATTGGAAAAATATTTGAATAAAATTGACGTGTCAGTTCAATTGTTAATAATGGTAGAATTTATTGGATTCATCATTTATAAAAACAGGAGATCCCATCCCAGGATTCAATGTTTCACAATTTATTCCAATCAGCCAATCACGGTTGACGATTGTTAATTAAACACAAAGATCAAAAGTTAGATTTTGTGCATGCATAATTCATTGCATAGAATTCTGAATCTTTGTTGAATTATTGATCTTGAAAAATCTATAATTACTTCCAGCCATTATAACCAATTGATATTTCTCAGAAATTTTATATATACGAAAATGTTGAAATTTTAGTGAATTCTATCATGAAATTGTAAGATGTTTCATCAAGGTATATTAAATGATACTAAGCCGTTGAGACTGCATTTAACGATTATCGAATAAATACTGAGGTGTATCATTTTAATCAAAATAATATGAATTAATAAGGAATTATCTGAAAGGTGAATTTATTGATTTTTCTTTGAATAACATTATTTTTCTGACAGCTAACGAGAAATTTGAAGTTATAAATTGATCAATCGATGATTTTATTTTACACAATATTGATTTAGCTTTTAGCTGCGGATACAGCCTCAATTTCTTATTGATTTCCGATTCTGTGTCCGTCATCGAGAAACCATCAGGATCGTGTCTCTCTTCTGTTAATAGTTTAAAAAATAACAAAATGAGCAAAGCACCCTCTCAAAAAACATAAAATTCCAAAAATGATCTTTAAATGTGTAAATAATGAATATAAGCTGACAGGATACGTTTTCCAAAATTGGGCTGTTATACAATAATTTTTACAGAAGCATATGCATTTGGAACTATTTTTTTCAGAATCATAATTTCAAATCATTAGTTTCCCTGTTGTTTTAATTCGTTTTTCCAGTTTTGTTTATTCAGAATTTGTGATGAAATGAGTGTGGATCTAGATAATGTCAAGTGTTGAAGTTTAATTCTTATGAGACGTGCAATCTGATAGCACGACTCTAAGCACAAAGGAAGCAGATATGATTCAGAGAAAAAACTATTGTCACAGAACAAAAATATTTCAAATCATAGGTTATATTTCTGAAGTCAAAACTTTGAAATGGCTCTATCTTATGACATCTGTTTCTCTATATTTTCATTTATTAGTATTTTCCAGTGAGGAGTTAGAATTGTTTAAATTGTACTCTGTAATACGACTGCTTCCTGTATTGCATTATGGGATACATTTATTTATTGTTTTCTAGAAATAGACAGTGTGCAATGAGAACTGTTCACTAACACTGTCTGTACTAAGTCTGCAACTTATATTACTACATAATGCGATATATTTATTTATTTTATTTTCCAGCGCTAGACAGCGTGCAGTCAGAACTATTTGACCTGAAGTCAAAGTACGATGAAACATCATCTGCTAAGTAAGTCGTGTTACTCGAAAGTATTCTCTCTCTGTTGTTAAAATTGCTACTTTCAGGGGTGTAGCCAGGATCGAAATTTGGGGGGGGGGAATTTTATTTGGCGAGGCATATTTGAATTAAAAGTGAAATAACACCATCATATTACATCATTTCCAAAGTTTCAATTGAAAAAAAACATCTGAATTAATATTTTTCTTTAAAATTTTTGCGAAGCAACTGCCTGGCTATGCCATGATCTAAAATTTGGCGATGTAGATTTGAATTAATAACGAAGTAACATAATTATCATATTACTTCATTTTCAAAGTTCCTCCTGAAAAATACATCTAAATTAATATTTCTCTTAAAATTACTTGCGACCAGTTAAACCTGTTTCTGAAAACTTCACGCTTTTTATCAATAAAACATATTTAATCCAAGAATATTCTACTTTAGAATTGTGGGGACCCCATGTGTGCAAAGTAGTACCATTTAAGATTTTCTGATTTATATTTTATAGAAAGACTTATTAACCGTTCGTCTGGTTACTTGAAACCCACCTATTGTCAATGTACTCCTATTATTTCATTTTAACCTTTTCCGTATGATGAAGGCCACCTTGACATAGGCCATTGGGGTTTAATTGTAAGTTTAGCGGGAATTAGTATAGTAGTATTTAGTTCATATATATAAAACCTTAGGCCAATATACATTATAGTATAGGATACAATTTACATATTTTGGATGGCATTATGAATATTATTTAGTTTAATGATTGTTCAAGATCAGGAATTGGGAAATATGAAGAAACAGTGTTGAGTTGTTGGAGAAGGTCTGACATTAGATAAGAAATTCTGATGATAAGTTAAAACAAATTAACACATCAGGCAAAATTGCTGGAAATTATCATTTAAACATAGCAACAGTTATGACATTTTTCAAAACTATAGACGATTTTGGTAAAAATGACCAGGGGAAATCACCTATTGCTTGTTGCTAAGGAAACCCCTGGATTGTTTCATGAAATGCATCAAGGACCGCTAAACATCAGTTTATACTATGCTGGCCTTATATTGTCTTGTAGACTGAAACTATCAATAGGTATCATTTCATAGGTTGATAGTCAGATAGATCAATGCTTATGTATATTGGATACAATAATCATGAATTATTATACCAACCAAGAAATCAATTATTGTTATGTCATTGGTTTAATAAAGTAAAATAAAAGGAAATTGAGTAGAACAAGCAAGAGATGAAGAATACGAGTGTATCGTCCAAATATGCTTGAATTTATATTCAAATAAAATTTCAAATTAAATTTAAGCAGATGGTTCATTCAGTTTTTAAAAAAAAGAACTGTTGGTAGAAACCTTGAATGAAATGTTGTATAGTTTTCTCATTTTCTTCAATATTTACAAAAAATGGTTGGCGAATTGTTGATGGATGGTCGATAATTTATTTACAGCTGAACAATTTTTCATTTCCCTGTTGTTTACTTCCTCTTCCTTCCACTCCTTATATAGACAAAAATCTATGACTATGTTCGTTTTATACCTAGGTATATTGATACTTTTCTATGATGTGAATATTGATAAGAAATATGGAAATAGGGATAGGTTTGTCGGGCTAGATTAATCACTATGTATTGTTTTATGATCGATGAATAATCGTGAAATTGCTGTTTTTATTCTACCATGTAATCTTCTATTATGAAACTGACATCAGTGTCCCATTGAGTGTCACTATGTATGTAAAGTTAGTTGAGTAATCACCATGGTAACCTTGATTGTTTGTTTCTTGAAAAGATACAAATTATGTTAGGAATAAAATCGACAAACCTGCCTAAAGTGAAATGAGTAGTCAAGCTTTTCTTGAAAATTTACCATCAGATGATGAGAGCTTCATCTTCAAATGCTTAAAGCATTATGTGGGCAATGATAAGTTAAGCATCCTATGAGCAAAGCCTTCAGTTATAAAAGCCTTTAATGGGAAAAACTTTTTACATTTAATTAGGATTCCATTTACTAAATCATTGACTTAGTAAAGACTTCAATGGATAAAACTTTCAAACATATAAGCGAAGCCATAAATAGTTAAAGCTTTAAAATGAAACCTTCTATTGGTAAGTCTTTGTTGGTAAAGATTTCAATGGATAAAAGTATCAATGAGTCTTCGATAAGCAAACCCTCCAATGGATAAAGCCTTGAATGGGTATAAAGCTTTCAAATGAAACTTTCCAGAGGTAAACTTTTATTGAATAAAGTCTATTGGGTAAAGCCTTCAATGTATAAAGCTTTCAATGAGCCTTCAATGAGTAAAACCTGCAATGGACAAAGCCTTGAATGAGCAAAGCCTTCAAGAGTAAAACTTTGATGGTTCAAGCCTGAATTGTTTAATTTTTTTATTATTTCAGATCTGATGAGATGGAGATTGTAATGTCAGACCTGGAGAGAGCAAATGAGGTAAACTTAAAACACCTTGGTGAACCACCACATATTTCTATAGCCTACTCTGAAAAACCTTTGTGAACCACCACATACAATAACCTCATGTACTATAAAGCACCTTTATGAACCACCACATACAATATTTGTATAACCACCAAATTCTATCTTTGAGAAAAAAGAAAGTGAAGCATCACTATCTGAAATGTCTGAGTGTAATTTGAACATATTGATGGATTCAGTTATGATTTGACAATCAAAATCATTTCCTTTGAAAACTAGATAATGAGATATAGTTTTGTTCTATAGAGGGCAGAAGTGGATTGATAAAATACATTTTTAAACTTTGTTAGTGATTTTTTTGAGTCTCCCTTCCCTATTAAATCAACCATAAATTATAAGGTTTGTCTGCCATGAATGAATGGAAACTGTCTGCTTTGCATGTTGCATTATGGGATATTTAATTTTGTTATAGAGGGCAGCAGCATCTGAGAGACAAGTTGAGCAACTACGGCAACAACTGTCATCTGCCACACAGAATCTCAATCAAGCAGAACAGATGTCAAAAGCTCCTGACATGGAACAAGCCATAGATATATTGAAACGCTCAAGTCTGGAAGTTGAATTGGCTGCCAAAGAAAAAGAGGTTTGTAAATCCCATTAAGATGACACTTTAGTCTTTTTCTCCTGGTTAATTGTGTCTGTACAGTCTCGCCTCTAGGTCACATATTAATCTTGCTATTTCCTTGGTTTAGATATATTACCTCTGAGGTCCTTTTAAAGAGGGGAGCATTCAACTCTAGAAAGCCCTTTGAATATTGAATTAAAATAACTTGGATGATTAGTTTTACGTTACACCTGACATGAATACTGTTTGTCCATAGCAAAACCTTCGCCACTTGAAATCTTCCCATAATAGTGCATTTTGGGATATATGCTACACCTACAAACCTGGAGTTCCTTGAAAACATTGTCTCTTGCATTATTTCACATATATCGTTTGTTTATGTACATCCATGATGAAATTTCTATTTATTTTATAGATCAGTCAACTTGTTGATGATGTTCAGCGACTTCAGAGCTCACTAAACAAGCTAAGGGAGACCACATCTACCCAGATTGCCAACTTAGAGGAGGAACTTACCCAGAAAACTCAAGCATTGAAGACCATTGAAGAGCGAATGAAGGGCCAGGAAGATTATGAAGAAACTAAACGTGAATTGAAGTATGTTAAAAAAGTTACCACTTAATGAAAAATAAATAAATCTTACTAATTTTATTTTATAACATTTACTATACCTCCCATCCACCCTGTTGATAAAACAGATTTTCTGGAAGTGTGAATTTTTTCATAACTAGTCCATTCAGTAGAATCACTCCACTACTTTTCGAGTTACAGCAATCGTAAAATAACGAGTAAAGGCCACCATTTTTCAAGATGGCTGTAGAATTATTTTCACCTCACTAAGCAGATATGTTTATTTATATCATTTCATGTTTTATATTTCAGCATTTTAAAATCAATTGAATTTCCCAGTAAGAATTCAGAGGCTGCGCCAGATTCAGCGGCCATTAAAAAATCCCTGGAGATGCTGCTATTGGAGAAAAACAAAGCCTTACAGACAGAGGCGACCCAACTTAAATTGGCCAATCGCGAAGTCACAGGTAAGAAAAAAACAACATTTTGCATTTTGAAATTCCTCTTTTTAATGAAGGAGTTGGTTTATGTTTCATTTGAATCGAATCAATTTGTAAAAACTGAAATTATAAGAATTTGACTTCATGAGTTTGTTACGCTTCACAATAGAATGAGTTGGTGATATTTTTTTTAAAAATAAACAAGAGATGGAATTTCTTTTTGAATACTTCATTTTCTCAGATGTTTCTTCAATTTTCATTTTACTCATATTTTTCTATAATTTTGTATTATTCCTAATTTTGCTCTCTTAGACCTTGTATTCTTAAATTATAGAATACAGGTAGAATGTAATCCTAATGTACAATTTTCAAACTGGTTTCCTTTAATCAAACTATTCTAAGATCAGACATTTGTATTTGCATATAAAACAAAATGCTAATATCAAACATATGTCTGATCTTTAGTTTCTTTGAGTTTAAATGTCTGATCTCTCATTTATTTAATTTATTATTTGGTAGTCTACATTTATGGTTATATTTTATATGACTTTCAATTTATTTCATGCAAGTAAAAAAAACATTACTTGATACTTACTTATTGACATGTATTTCACTTATATTGTGTGTGCAGAACCCTAGACCTTTACTCAAAGATTTGTGTGTTCAGTTTTTTGGGTCACCCTGTAATGGCTGTATCCTATATATTTATGCTGAAAACTTTAGTATTTCATGTGTTACAAGAAATGATTAGCAAGAAACCAAACAAAAGATACACTTAGATGAAAGTAACAGATGCCCAGATACCAGAAATATACTGCAATGTCAATTATTAACGGCCGTGGTTATTTCTGGTATTCCGTGGTAGTTATAAATAAGTGTATATTTCAGTGATTTTCATGTATTTCATGGTAATAACTGATATTCCATGTTAACCATAAATACTGTTTTTGTGGTAAATACTGGTTTTTCATGGTATATCATTTATCAATAACCATACCCATATTTTACCACAACACTTTTCTGTGATCTGCCATATTAGCAGACAATTCTATCACATTTGGTTATGTGCAAAGAATTATGGTAATTATCTCTGCCGATTATGACATCACATATAACTACAATTTAGCTTTACTAACACTTCAGACAGTTTGATGTTTTCTTTAATAACAGCAGCTTTTATCAGACATCATGTGTAGTTAAACCAATAAATTATAAAATTGGACAAGATTTGGAAAAATTGGAATTTGTTGGTTTAACTGTATTTTACTGATAGATCTGATTTAGAAAACATCAAATTGTATTTGGTTTTTCGCTTTTCCAAGAAATGATAGTTACACAAAGTAATGCCATTTCTCACTGAGGTGCAGAGTTCAACCTTTTGTTACTTCAACCTTTTGTTACAACCTTTTCCATTCTCCATTCTGCACCACCTTTTAGGAACTGTAGCATTTTAAGCTGCTTTTCACCATTTTTAGTTATTTAAGGTTTTCTTTTTGTGTTTTATGAACTTTATTTGATTTTTACTGTATAACTCTTGTGACCCCAACTACCCAAGAAAGGTGTGAGACTCAGACAAAAAAAATTGAAAACAGGAAAAATCTGAAAATCCACAATTTTCTACTCAAATCTACTGATATTGATGTTGTAAACTTTCTTTTTACGTTTTGTTTCTTGGAAAATGACAAAAAGCGCAAAATTAACCCAGCATGCATTGCTTTAAAGTTGCATCATGGGATATCTCTACACCTTTCTTGTTGTAGGGGGTGATGGGAGTCCCGCGCCGAACCCGAATGATCCAATGAGCAGCACCGAAGTGTATGCCTCCATGATTGGTCAAGAACTTGTGACATCATACCAGCAGGCTATATTGGCCAATGGGGGAACACCACGCTCAGATAGCTCATCAGAATCGAAACCATCTCCACCAATCAAAACAGAGCCAGTTAGAACTAATGGAGTGCTCCCAGATTCTGAATTTTTCCGAGAACGCAATGGACATTTATCACCGACAGAAATAGCAGCTCTGAATCAGCGGAAATTATCAACACGAGAAAGGGAAAGCCTGGATTGCTCAAATGGCCCAATGTTAGATACATCCGAAGTTGCTTTACGTATTAGAGACATTTTATCCTCGCATAATATCGGGCAACGATTGTTCGCTAAGCATGTATTAGGATTATCCCAAGGCACTGTTAGTGAGCTGTTGTCCAAACCTAAACATTGGGATAAACTTACAGAAAAGGGAAGAGAATCATATCGTAAAATGTACCAGTGGTCATGTGATGATGCCAATATTAATGAACTTAAAGCCATATCTCCGAAAAAAGGTGAGTTGTCAGACTGACAGGAAACCTATCTTGTGAGGTTCTATTACTGTACTCCGGGTATTGTTCGCTTGCAATTTAATCTCGCTTTGTTCGCGAATATAGTAAAATCACGAACATTTATCGTCGTGAAATTTGTCTTAAATCCCCGGGGATTTTTACCCGGGACTTTTGATATGTTTTGTTCGGTGTAAAATGTTTCGTTCAGTGTTGTTGGGCGATATTTCAAAAAAGGCCTAAAATGTCTAACATTTTGAATTGGCTTATTAGGCCAACAAAGGCAAGAACTGTTGATGATAATGATATACTACAAATTGAAGTTGAAAAAGCCATTCAAGAATATTCAAATAAATGCCCTAAACGTGGGAAATACAAACATTATTCGGATTCTGAACAGGATTCAGGATTGATTCTGAGCCTTAACCAGATATGCATTGATTCATGGTAATCAGAAAAAATTCAACTTGTGCAATCCGCGAAATGTCATCAACTCAAATCTGCGAAATTAAATAGCCGCGAAATTGCAATTTTGAAAAATCGCAAAATTTTATAGCATCGAAATTTACCAGGAGTACAGTATGTAACCCCCAGATGTGGTTACTTATTGTTATAGCCTCCATTTTTTGTGGACAGTGTTCAGCAGTTTGTGTTCAGCATTCGGCAGTCGTTGTCTCTAACCAATTGTAGGTGGTGACATTTTGCATGTAAATGCCTTGTTCAGAATTGAGTATCAGTTAAATACACATTTGGTTCAAATTTTATAGGCTGATGCCTTATATGAGCATAGATCCTTCCCTCGGGAACGGATTTTCAATATGACTACCTGATTTCATACTTTTTGAGAACTAAAGTACCAGTGCAATGTGTTCCAAATTCTACAGGCTGATGTCTTAGGGGGAAAAAAACCTGTTAAAGAATTTGAAAAAAATATAGTTTTTGGATTTCAATCCATCGTGGGTTGTATTCTGGCTTAATTCTTAATTGATTGTCAGCAACACATATTTCACATGATGTTATGAGTATCTCTTCCTGTATGCGTTCATAATAGCAGGTTCCGAAATAGTTCATTTTACACTGTTATCTTTTGGAAAACTTGATCAGGTCTGTTTATGTAATATTGCATCATGGGATTTTCACACAGTTATAATTTGGAAAAACTTAATCCGTCTACTTATATCATATTGCATTATGGGATTTTTACAGAGTTATAATTTGGAAAAACTTCATCCGTCTGTTTATGTATTATTGCATCATGGGATTTTCACACAGTTATAATTTTGAAAAACTTCATCCGTCTGCTTATATCATATTGCATTATGGGATTTGTTGTAGGTGCTACTCCTATAGTGTCTAATTACAACAAAACCGAAGACCATGAAACTGAGGTGAGGATTCAAGAGATCCTATTGGATGCCAGACAAGCCATGCAAAGCAAACAGCAACAGGAGCAGGTGAGGCTGATACATTTTATTGAATGAGTTATAGCTGTAATTCTCAAATATTGTAGGATCGGAATTACAGACTCTGTCTTATTAAGCAGGATGAACTGTGTTCATCTTTTTATATAATGAACCAAGGATATTAGGGTTATAATCAAACTCTCTGTCGAGACAAAGATAAAGAAAAAAGATATACTGATATCAAAATGACTGCCATTTTTCAAAAAAAAATTGTATTCTTTAGTTCAAATACTAGTCAATCATGTCAATGGATTTGGTTGAAATATTAAATGCTGATACCCTCGGGACAAAGGACTCAATAATGAATTTTCAAGATGGCTGCTGCATTTAAAATTGCCACCATTTTCGTAAAAATGTAATCTTTGATAGCTCAAATACTATTCAACGGATTAGATTCATATTTTATATGCTGATTTTCTCAGGAAAATGGACTGTGTTGGAGAAGGAATTTTAAGGATGGCTACTGAATTCAAAATGGCCACTATATTTGGTAAAAATGTAATATTTGATAACTTGTTTACCTGTTAAGAGATTCACTTCAAATTTTACTTGCCGATGCCATAAGACGTTGCTCAAGAAGGAATTTTAAAGATGGCCACATAATTCAAAATGGCCACTATTTTTTCAAAAACCTGTGATAGTTCACATGCCAGTTGACAGGTTTGGCTCAAATTCAATATGGTGATGCAATAAGGACAGAGGATTTTGTAAAAGGTGGATTTTTTGAGATGGGCGCTATATTCAAAATGGCTGTCCATTTATATTGGCTATCAATTTCTAATTTTTTTTCGAGGTCTCCTCTGCCGAAGGCAGCGCAAAGTAGGAGCGTAGCGACTACTTTGCGGGAGACCTCGAACCATTGATCACGTTTGCTCCTGTAATTATTCACTTCTTCACCTCTTTAAAATGTGATTTCAATCAGTTGATCAAATTGTCGGACTTTGACCTCAAATTCAAATATTAATATTTATAAGAAAAAATACTGACTCATTATTATATTTTTAAAAGTCTTTCAAATAAAGTGAAATGAAGCCAAAATCAGCTAAAATTATGCAATGTCGTAAAATGGCGTGACTGGAATATGATGCAATCACCTGTGACGTCAGACACGTATTGCCGCATCAACAACTAAACAAACAATTAATATAGACTTCACTGATTGGTTTAAAGATTCTTCGCATCATTTGTGACGTCATAAACATGTTACCCAACCAACAACTAAACAAATAAGAAATAGGCATATAGGTTCGTTCAGTGCAACGCTCTTGAATCAGTTATAAACAGGATAATCAACAGATATATGAGAGGGTCAGGCATTTTTTTGACTTGGAGACCTCGAATCGAGGAGTTTGCTGCATTTTCTTGTTTCTTCAACATGTATTGTAATGACTTCAGTATGAATGAAATGAAATTGAGAAGGAATTTTAAGGATGGCTACTGAATTCAAAATGGCCACTATATTTGGTAAAAATGTAATATTTGATAACTTGTTTACCTGTTAAGAGATTCACTTCAAATTTTACTTGCCAATGCCATAAGACGTTGCTCAAGAAGGAATTTTAAAGATGGCCACATAATTCAAAATGGCCACTATTTTTTCAAAAACCTGTGATAGCTCACATGCCAGTTGACAGGTTTGGTTCAAATTCAATATGGTGATGCAATAAGGACAGAGGATTTTGTAAAAGGTGGATTTTTTGAGATGGGCGCTATATTCAAAATGGCTGTCCATTTATATTGGCTATCAATTTTAATTTTTTTTCTTCAACATGTATTGTAATGACTTCAGTATGAATGAAATGTCCCTTGGTCTTCTGGTCTTGGATTTTGATATTGGTTCTTGAATGGTGGGGGAAAGGGGGTATTAGACATTGTTTCCTTTCACGTAAGATCATTGTTTTGGGCTATATGGGGTTTGTTTTTCTTGACTGCTATGCACTTAGAGTTTGCTTTTTCTTGCTAAGTTCCATTACAACTTTTGGTCCTTTCCCTTTGGCACTCGTGCTTATATATTTATATGCTGATGCCTAAGGGACATAGGACTCTACTTAAGAAAGATGATTCAAAATGGCCAACAAAAATAGGCAATATTACTCTACTCCTGAAACCTATTTCTTTAATGTTACATATGTTCACAATGATGATTGATTCGATCAAATACTCTTTGTTTGGTGGGATTTGCTACTCTGTAGAGATGCTGTCTTTCTCGTTTATCTTTTTTAAAGGTAGCAAATTTCAATGCAAATTTTTAAAGTCTTTTCTTTGAACTAAAGTACTTTGACCATGTTTCCTGCCCAACCCTCATTGGTTCTGTATGGGCTTCTATTCTATTAAAAGTGAATGACTCATGTGATGCAAACAACCACGCCATCTTTCATTGACATTGCTCAAAACTTGACATATAAAAATTGACAGGTCGAAATTATTTTTTGATTATTTTTGTGAACTCTGATCTGGTTTATTTGGGCTGTTTTTGCTGTCAAATGAAAAATCAAGTACTTATAAATATGTATAGAGTCTCAAAATCAAAATATTGAATGAAAGGGAAAATTCAGAGACAACATATTTTGTTTATTAGTTTAGAGAAGGATAATTTGTGCATAAATCTTCTGTGATTAACCACCATTGATAACATGTAAAATGTATAAAAAGTAAGCTCATGTACAATGATTAACAATGATTATTGATTAAACATTATCCAAATGTATGTTTGCAGGGTCAAGTGACAACTGCAATGGTATCCAATATCTACCAGAGAGAGCTTGCAAAAATATCTGGCCATTCACAACAGTCAAGCCCCGCCTCATCCAGTGAACATAGGAGATCCAGCAAAGATCGAGAACGCTCTAGAACGGAAGCTGCCATAAGGCAAAATCAGGAATCGGAGTGTAAAATCTCTGAACAAATTGTACAGAGGATATATGAAGAGGAACTGATGAAACTAGCAGGGGCTGCACAACAAGCTGGAAATATAGCAGAGTTCACTATGTATCAGCAAGAATTGGCTCGTCTTGCCCGACACCATGATCTATCTCATAGTGGGAGCTCATCCAGTGTTAATAAAGACTTCTTGAATGGTTTGAAAATCAAATCTGAACCAGATTCATCGAATAGCCCAAATCCATTAAATGGTACACCCATTTCAGGAAGTTCAATTTATGCTAAGCATGAGGAGGCTTTGCGGCATGCTGGAAGTGCTTTCTTTCTGGTGCGGCCACAGGGAGGCATACCAAGCCCTTTTGATCCATCGCAGTATCCTCCAACATCATTCGCAGATGGTGTTTCTCCACTACAACGAATGCAGAGCATCGCAAATTCTCTCATGTCTAAAGCTCAAAATGCTGTGCCTCTTCAACGCCCTTTAAAAGCAGTACTGCCACCTATAAGTCAGGAACAATTTGACCGCTACACGAATCTCAACACTGATGATGTTGTGAAAAGAATCAAAGACTGTCTTAGTCAATTCTCTATCAGCCAACGTTTATTTGGAGAAAATATTCTTGGACTCTCTCAAGGAAGTGTTAGTGACCTTCTAGCAAGGCCCAAACCTTGGAACATGCTTACACAGAAAGGCAGGGAGCCATTCATCCGTATGCAGCTTTTCTTGGAGGATCAGGAATCTATCCCAAAGCTTGTGTCAAACCAGTACAAAATCTCCCCTGATAAGCTGATGAGAAATAATTCGTTCTCATTGCCAACACCAACACAAGGTAAGACTAATATTTATATGTTTTGCCAACAATTTAATATTAAGTTTAAATTTAGTAATTTTCCAATTTGTGTCTGGTTGATACCATTTGTCAGGTTTGGTTCAAACTTAATAGTCTGAATTATGATGTTTATTTTTTAATGTATAGTGCTTTTGATATTTACGTGACAGCTTTTTCAAAATTTTGCATTTATTCAAAATATTCACTCATATCAAGTGCTCATAATTTTTAATTATTTACTAAAATATTACAATATTCTTATACAATGATATGATACATATGATGTTAACATGAATATTATTATTTTCCATGTATTTCAAATAAAAGTAGCTTGCTCCTTTCTAATATTTCTACATATGTTACTTCATGGGTTTTCCCCACACCTTTTTCTCAAATCTTTTCCATTGCAATATTTTCAGATCCTGATTCACCTCAAGACTTATCAAATCACAAATCATCATCCAAGCCTTCGACTCCCTCTATCGTTGAACCAGTTAAACGTGAGCGCCAACCCAGCATTGCAAACAGCGACAGCTCTGACCCAGCATTTAAACCATCAGTATTTGAAGTTGCCGCAATGACTGCTGAACTAGACACACTTGCTATCACAAGCAAAGTTCGCGAAGTTCTACAATTTCATAATCTTGGTCAGAAACTATTTGGCGAGGCTATATTAGGACTGTCCCAGGGTTCAGTCAGCGAGCTGCTGTCAAAGCCGAAGCCTTGGCCCATGTTGAGCTTGAAAGGCCGAGAGCCATTCATCAAGATGCACATGTGGTTAACAGACCCTCACAACATAGACAGGCTCAGACTGTACCAAACAGAATTAAGAGGTATGTAAACTCTAATGCTTATAGATCATAAAAAATATGCAAGCACAAAGGATAAAGACTAAAGAACAGATAGAAAACTGTTCCCATCCCCAGTATCCCAAACAAATATATTAAACAGTGAGAGTTAGGAGGAATGGCATTAAATAGAGAAATTGCAAAATTATTGCCAGAAAGTCATAAACCATAATTTGGCAGCACTGTGTCTGTTTGTAACAACAATGAAAAAGAAAAACTTCATATTTAACTTTACTATTTCACAATTTAAATTTGTTTTGAAGTATCACTTTTAAGTAAAAGAATTTAAAAGAGTAATGTTCCAAACATAAATGCTATACATTTTATGGTTAATGTGTTATCATATATCTTTCAGCCCACAGAAGTCGAAAGCGGAGCTCTGATGATAGCATTGATTTCTCCCCATCTAACAACAAAAAGCAGCGAGTTTTCTTTACAGAGGAACAGAAGGACTCGCTACGTCAAGCTTACAATAGTGATCCTTATCCCAACCAAACCACTATTGAGGTCCTAGCTGCTCAGTTAGGGGTTACCCCCAAGACAGTCATAAACTGGTTTCATAACCACAGGATGAGAGCCAAGCAACAGATTCACATTACCAATGGTGTGAAGGTTGAATCTAATGATGAATCAAATTGTAGTGATAGTGTTACTAGTGAGCGTTCCTTTCCCATGGAACCTACACAGTGGATGTTCCCCACTTTTGAGGCAGTCCCCAGTGGACGACTTTCCCAGAATTCCTCCATTAGTGATACACCAACTGATTTGCGTGTTAAACATAATGATACCCCAGATGCCCTCATATCAACCCCACAAGGAATGAACCTCCCTGTGGATTTAAAACCACCAACAGGTGTCAACAAAAGGAAGAGTTCCCATCCACAATGGGTCTTTCAAGGGCTAAGCTTAGATAGAAGCATCACTGATACTACTGACAGTCCTGATTCAACATCTACTAGTCCTCCAGAACATACTGCTAACAGTAACAATGAAAATGACTCAACAAAAGAGGTTTTACTCAATGATGACACAGTGAGTAACCACGGTGACCAACTCACTACAAATATTCAAGATTCACATAACAACAACAAGGATGATAAAGCACCTGAGTCTGTAAACAGTGGATCAATGGTTAATGGTGACTGTGAAGATTCAGACAATGAACAGAGCATTGAAAGAATGGAGTTTTCTAACAAGTCAAACCAAGGTGGAAATCCGTTGATTGAAAAAATGCAAAAACGACTTGATACCAATGAAATAATTTGGGATGAAGTGAACAGAGAAGAAAATATAGAGAAACTCCAAAATAATATTCAGACTGCAGAAACAGAAGAGGATTGGGAGTTTTAAAAGACATTGTGTATCCAATATATATCCAAAACAAGATACACTTTTAACTCCAATGTAAAAAGCTTATATACTAATTAAATGTATATATCAAGCAAGTTTAATATGTGAATTGATGACAATTGCACTGGGTGTAATATCCCAGTTAAATGTTTAATTTGGTTGTGAGATCTGATCAATATATAAAGGCATTAAGAGCTTTACATACCATAATATCAGGCCGTGATATGACATACATTCTCAAATTTCAGTTAAATCTATCGTAGAATAAATTAGGAGATTTATATTTTTGGATGGTAATCTTTACTGTAAATAACTGAACAGGGGTCTAGATGGAACTGCTTTATCATTTATGTTTTAAAAATGTTGCATTTCTGGAAACAAGGGGATAAGTGCAAAACTAAATGTTCTTGCCTAATAATAGATTTGTGCAATTCAACTTACACTGAGTAAAATCCAATTTGTCATATATATAAAAGATCTGATTTAAGTTAACGATATCTATATGCATTGGAAGGATGACATTTTATGAGGAACTCTGATTGTATTGAAGGAGAACGTACCTGAAATCATATATTGAGTTTTTAAATTATTCAGGATATATGTTGATCTTGCCGTTAACATCACTTTGATTAAAAATACAAAATTTACAATTGTTTTTCAAATAATATTGATGTTGCCATAAATCTAGCAGTTTAGGACACAAAAGTGCAATTTTCTAACAAGTGGCCTTCTATATAGATAATTAGCATGTATGTTGATCTCAATGAGATAGTATAGTCATATAGCCTACGCATAATTTTCTACTTCATTGGCACCATTTGATGTGGTCGAAGTATTCTTAAGATGTACATTGCTGTATGATCTTTGCTTTCTTGAAGTGTAATCAGTCATATTTTGATTTACATTGATTTCAATGGGCTTTTTATTGTGTTAAATATTACACAATGATGTGTATATAAATTGCATACAACCCTGTTGAAAAAAATTTGATTCGGTTTATTCAGTTTTAAAAACAACTCTTAGAAATGGCCAAGGCATTTGGTATGCAGTAAGAACTTACATTTAGAAACAGGAAATTTGGATGGACCATTTCTGGTTTATTTTGTATATAATATACTACTATAATAACAGCTCAGGGCCATTTTCTCTTCTAAATATGTTTTTTATTAAATCAATGCAGCTACAATAATTGTTCTGCATCATCATAATTAAAACATAACATGTGAATATACGATTGATGAATTGGTACAATATTACCTTTTTCTTATTCTTAGATGATAAAGACTATTCAAAATAAATTGTATGATATTGTATCTCCAGCATAAACTAATATACCTGTATATTGCATATTTTACAACCTTTACAAAGAAGAAATCTTTTTTAAAGATCTGATTTTAGTTAACTCCATGTATATGTTAGCTATACTCATTGGCATTCATGTAATTTCATTTTATATTATTGAAACTACTGTTCAGCTGATTTGAGACATTTTTACCTGTCTTTGGGTGATATCAGAATGCTGTCCTATATGTTGAAATTCTGGTTAATAAGACTTAATTAGGGATGTTAAGCTGCACTATTTTACACATGTGAATGTGTAGACTTGTTTTCCTCTTGGGATAAGTTCTCTGTAGTAGTATTAACTTGGATACAAGGAAAATAGTTTTATTTAGGTTCCTAACAAAACCAACTGAGGGGCAGTGATCTCTGGGTCCTGACCCTGGGCGTCATTTGTATTCTCTTAATCTTTTACTGGTTTCACTCACCCTAACTTAATTTAATGTTTTATTGCTCCAACAACATGGAATTTAATTTTTAGAAATTGTGAACATCACTATAAAAGCAGAACTAAAATGTTCAAATGTTTGGTCTTTGTATTGAAGATTTCCTTCAAATATTACCAAATACAGTAAAAGCCCAAATTTTCGCTGACAAAAATTGTCACTATTTTGTCAATCTGAAATGTTTCATGAGCATTAGATATTACTGTTTGAAGAAGTATCCAAATGAATTCAATGTTAAATCAAATTTTCACTGTGTCCTTAAAATCACAGTCTAGCATTTTTAGCAAAAATAGCGAAAATTAGGGCACTTTCAAAGTTTGGGCTTTTACAGTAAGAACTTATTGTAAATGTTGATAACGCTCAATGTGTTCAAGTCGTTGAAAAGTCTACATGACATCTGTAATTTGTTGTTGAATTATTGGTAGTGCTACCTGGCATTCTGAGTAAATTACATTTTACATGAATGTTCTAGAATTCTACATGAATCTTCAAGGAAAATTGATGACTACTAAATGTATTTACAGTTGTACAGTATTATGATAACGAATGTATGTATGGTGTATGCTAACTTACATAATGTCAGTCTATTATATATTAACTCCATATTTTTTGTACTTTATATGCTACTGACCTCATATCGCAACTATTGTACATACAAGTATATGTAAAATCCTTGTACTTTTTACAAACATATTTTCTTTGTTACTCTGATCGCAAATGTCATGACATCAATATGTAATCATGCATCTTTTCAAAGAAATTCATTTTTGTTGCATACATACAATGTATAGTTATATTTTATTCCATGAGAAGAAATATGTCATAATATTTGTTAAAACTTACGGAAAGAGTTGAATTGCTAAATATTATAAAACTGCTATAGTTTGAGTCATTATTCTATCATGGTGACCATACAAAGATATCAAAAGTTATTTTTATTTCATTCATGTAACACAGAATCTCATTTCTCTGGATTTTTTATGTTCAATGAATTGTTTGGTTGGTGCTTAATAAAAAGTGCAATTTCAGTAGTATTTACCAACTGCAATTTCATTCTACGCAATCTCATGTTCTTATTTTCAGAACATTTTTACTATACTTTGCCAGAGATACTATCCATGACCACTTAGTTTGTAGAGCATAGTGTTCCTCTATCTCTTGTTTATTTATATAGAATTAAAGGCCATTATCATCATGAACATTTTCCACGATTGACCTCAAAATTGAGAAACTGCATATCAGATATATTATGATATAGGAAAATTAGAATAGTGTAGAACCTAACTTTTATACTGAACTATGACATTATTGTATTGTATAATTTAATCCTATTGCACAAGAATCATAACATGCATGTGTAAGGAACTTCAAATATTCTGTAATTGTCCTGTTTTTGAGGATATTACAAATGTAACTTTTTATACTGTAAACCTTTTAGACAAAGATCTGCTAGAACAACTTGTATTATTTTTCTGTGTAAAGTGAATAAACCTGTAGTGCAATAAAACTTAATGTTTAATGTTATATATTGTGCCCAATTGAAAATATCCAGAGGGCCATTTACAGAAACTTCGTAAAGTTTGGAATTCCTAAATCAGTTGTTGTAACCATGGGTATAGTGATGTCACAGTTAGAGAGCAATGGATTTGATGAATTCCTAACTTCACAAAGTTTCTGTTAAATGACCCCTGGACATTGTGTGAGCTATACCTTGATACAAACTACAGGGATCATAATCAATGATCATGTCATGCCTCATTATCTTTAAATGAGCTACTACAATACCAGATGAGGTATCTCCAAATAGCGATAATACATTTATTCTCGTGCTGGATATTCTGCCGTTATCACATTGTGAGAAGTTTTTAGGCATTGATTGGTCAATTGTGATAAAGCATATTCTGTATTACACCCTATGCAGACAGAGCCTGTGGGAAATATTGGGTGCGGCGCAAATGAGCGGAGGGTGCGGAGCTAACGGTCATTTTTGAATTTAAAATTGGGATATTTCTGAAACTAAGCCGTTTTGGGACTTCAAATATACCAAGATATGTGTATTTGACACCAAATATCAATAAAATTGTGAAAATAGTAGTGCAATTCATTTTATAGCGAAGCAGTATGCCTTAAACATTTCCCAGACCTATATATTTTGAGACTATCCTTTTAATACTGCGTCCCCAGCATTCATAAAAAATGGTGTTCAAGATACACTACCCATGCAAATTATTTTTGCATCTTGGAAGCCAGGCAGTATCTGTGTGATTTTATAAAAATTCGGAAATGTTCTTCAGATATGAGCCCCTCTAAATATTGGGTGCGGAGCTACGTTTATGGTGCTGCTCCGCACCCAATATTTAGAGGGGGCTCATATCTGAAAAAAATTCCGAATTTTTATAAAATCACACAGATACTGCCTGGCTTCCAAGATGCAAAAATAATTTGTATAGATAGTGCACCTTGAACACCATTTTTTATGAATGCTGGGGACTCAGTATTAAAAAGATAATTTCAAAATATATAGGTCTGGGAAAGGTTTAAGGCACACTGCGTCGCTATAGAATGAATTGCGCTACTATTTTCACAATTGTATTGATATTTGGTGTCAAATACACATATCTTGGTATATTTGAAGTCCCAAAACGGCTTAGTTTCAGAAATATCCCAAATTTAAATTCAAAAATAACCGTTAGCTCTGCACCCTCCGCTCATTTGCTCCGCACCCAATATTTCCCACAGGCTCTGTCTGCATAGGGTGTATTAGTACATGGTAGACTGTATCACTACAGACAATAGCAACAATATGATGTCACTGGTAACCATGGTGATATTGGTGTTTGAAAACAATGGTATGGCACCATATTATTTCACAGACAATTATGAAGACAATGGTATGATGGTATATTGAAATATGCAAAATATAATACAGTTATTGCATCAAAATTATGGTGGCAAAATTACCAGGAGTACAGAGTATTGAACATTATCATGATTAACCAAATCAAAATGCTTAAAACTCCCAGACAGGTGATAAAATCATTATGAATAATCACACATTTCAACTTATGTGATACAGGATATATTCCACTTGGGTAACAATGTATCACCACTTAAGCCTCGCTTTCGTGGATGATGCAGTGTTACACTTTGTAAAATATATTTCCTGTATCACATGCTGAAATGTGTGATAAATTGCAATATCAGAGAAGGCATCTCTTATTGATGAGTATTCTGTCATTATATATTTTACAGTGTCATTATGTTTAAATGGACTTTACTTAATCCATCACAATACCAAATTATACCACACATTCTAAGAAAACCCCTATAAAGTATTCCCATTTGAATCCTTCATAGTGCTATAAATTCCAAGAAACTAAAAAATCCTCGTTTGACCCATTCAGAGCGCTACAATGGTCTCCAAGAGCAGTACAGTGATGCTGTAGCCACGATGCAGGAACAAAAGCAATTGATTGTTCAGTTGGAGGAAGATCTACGTAGTGTCAATGCTCTCTCCACCATGTTCAGACCTGATGCAGAGGTATGTATTCAGATTTGGAAATTACTTCTAGGCACCTGTAGAATAGGATAGCTGAAATATATAAGACACCGGTGCCAAGGGCTGAAATGTTTCTCAGGTTATAACAATATGGCTGAAAATATATATTTCTATATAGGTTTGAAGAAGGAAACAGTTCCGTGTTGTTTAACCCTTTAAAAAATCAATTATGAAGATTTTCAGATTAGTTTGATTACCAATTTAATGTATTCCCAGTCTTCAAGAGATCAGCATTTCACAGAAACCAATGGGATGATTTTGAACAAATAATGTTAAGTGACATTTAGTCAAGTGCTATTTATAAAAATGGAATTCAAGTATTTTGGTTAATGAAAATACAGAATTAAATCCTGCATCCTTCATATAATCTTTCAAATGACAGCTAACAAAATGTCTGGTATCACAAATTAAAAGTTATTCTGCATTTAGGATGATGTCACATGAAAGAAAATTCCTCACATGATTGTTTCATGTACACAGCCAATATAATTCGGCTACGTTTCGGCATCGAAAAAATTCGGCACTGTTCCGGCACCGTTTCAACACCAAAATTTGCCACCGGACTAGTCAGTCCATTTGGCACCTAAACGGCGTCGAAAATCAGATTGCATTTTGGGGGTGTAGGTTTTCATAATGTAGTTAGCGCATGGGTTAAAATAGACATGCTTTGTGTATCCCATGGTGGATTTTATTCCATTGTGTTATATGTTTCAGGGAGAGGCAGGTCCACCTTCAGAAACAGCTGAATATGTTGCGAATGCAGTTAAAGAAATGTCCCCAGCTTGTAAGTACACATAAAGTGGCTTGGTGAAATGTCAATGTTTTTTTGTACAATAACATTATGCTGATTGTGAACTGAAAACTTTTGTTAAATGAACTGGGAGAGTGATAAAGCTCTATTTAGAAGAAATATATATAACTTGGACCAGTCCTTAATTGTTTAAACAGTAATATATTTGAAAAGAAAATTTGCTTTGAGTCCAATAGAAACAATACAGATAACTTGAAATTCAATGAGAAAAAATAACTATTATGAGCATTAGGCCTACAAATACAAGTTATCTTAAATTGGCAAAAGTTAATTGCTCATCTTGGCTCAATAAGGGCATGTTTGCTTTTAATGTGGCTCTGTGGAGCATCACATGATAAGTCAGGATCTAAATTACATCAATATGACCTATCACTTGTTAATTGCTTATTATTTGCCATTGCCTTAGTGCGGCGCTGTATGACGTACAATACTAGTGATCTACGGTATCATGTTTTTTGGGCCTTGTTTGTTGTTATGATACAAATACTGTAATTGTAATCAAAAGTTATCTTTATTTGTAGCTCCTACATCAGATTCCAAAATGGCTGTCAACTCACTACTGCCGATTGTTCAAAGCCAGCGTGAACGATTCAGAGTCCGAGCACAGGAGTTGGAAGCTGTAAGTTTTCTAACAGAGCATTGATAAAATGCCTGCTTATTTCCTTGATTTTGTTCTTAGAATTCTGTATGGTCAGGAACAAACCCAGGGCCAAAAGTAAAAGAGGCAAAACAAAACACACTTCCTCAATTTCAGTAGAAAAAATGTAAAAAAGGTTTTTGCAAATTTTTGGCAGTTAAGCTTTGCACATGATAGTAAAATAGTCTCAAACACATATACACTGTACAGTGTACACATTTAAGGACAATATTTAAAAAGCTAGGATTTTATCCCTGTAAGTTTCCAGATTGCTTTGTATAATTTTTCAAGATTTTTTGAAAGACAGATCTGTGACCTCCATCCTCCAAATGTCTTGGTTCAGTTACATGAAGAAATGCTTGTATGTTGGAGTCTTCACCAAAAGAGCAAGATGAAATGCTCAGTAACACTACTTCCTCAAGTGGAAAAATAGATATATATTTTTTGTTTACAGCAAAATCTCTCCCAACAACAACAAGTTGTCTTGCTTCAAAATGAGACAGACAAACTAAGATCTGACAACGTCAAACTTTATGAGAAAATAAAGTTCCTACAAAGCTATCCTCAAAAGGTAAGTAAAAAATAAACAATATGACCAATGCTTGAAATAACTAGAAAACAATTCCGCTATTATGTTTTTTCCTCAAGTGGGTGCAAAAGGCTTAGCAACCTGAGCTCCCTTTGTATCTGAAGCCTGATCAGAAAATGATATGATTTTTCCATCAAAGGAGGCTTTGCTAGATCTTTGAAATCCCTTCAGTCTCACTTTTATGAGATTTTAAGAGATTTGCATTTTAAACCATGAAGGACTTAACTTTTAGATAAAAGTAAGGTTTAGAAAATCTTTAGAAGTTGATATTCTAGTACTATTACAAGGATCATGGTTGTAATGTAACTCTTGGGGGTCATAGCCACTACAACCTGTAAATATGTTACATTGATTTTAATGAAAAAAAATAAATATGTTGCCAATGGAGTTCAACATTTATCAAATTGGAAATATTTGATGTATAATGTTTGTAGGGTCGTTCCCATGTTGAAGATGACACAGAAGACAAGTACTCTACTCAGTATAATGAAAAGCTAGACCCATTCTCATCATTTACCAAAAAAGTAAGTCTATGAAAAAAGTAAGTCTATGATATTGGAGGGGGGAACAACAAGTACTCTACTCAGTATAATGAAAAGCTAGACCCATTCTCATCATTTACCAAAAAAGTAGGTCTATGTTTATCATCATCAAACAAGAATAGTATAGATTCTAAATAGCTGATAAAAGCTGACATATTAGATGTCACCCTTGTCATTCTTCGTTTTGCTTGGGCCAGACTGCCATAGCTGTCCATGTTACAAACTTGCAATAGTCACTTAATTCAATACAATCCTTATTTTGTAAAAAAGAATCGAGATATCAAATATGGACGTTATTGAAAATTTAAGACTCTGGATATTTTTGAATGGTTCTAACTGAAGCATGTGTTTTCATCCACTGATAGTGAATAAATAATGTCTATGGAACAATGTGTGAATCACTGAATTGGTCCTATTTTCATCTTTGATGATTAGTTAACTGGGTAACAGATGTCTTTATATTTCATAATCCACTCTTTATTAAGTTTTTTTATATTCCAGGAAAGACAAAGGAAATACATGGACCTGAAGCCTTATGATAAAATTACTCTGAGCATGGTAGGTTTATTTGGCTAATGATTCACAAAGAATGTTTAAATTGTGATTACTCAATTTTTGAAATGGTGTCTACATGTACTTCATCTAAAACTTGTGTAAATGGAACATCTTTGGTACCTCAAAACCACTTGGAAGGTGTTCCACTTAAGCATTGGTCACATTTGCTCCAATCCATCGGCCGGCGCCCAGCCGATTGAGTGTTTTGTTCTATATTGTATTCAATTTTGAACAAAATACTACGGGCGCTGTAGTGAAAATCGGAGCAAATTTAACTAAGGTATATTATTATATCACTATCTAGCTAGCGACAGTGTGATTGGTCAAAACCGGGTCACATTTCGATTTCGTGGGATATCTGGCGATATTCAATGCCAATGCTAATCAGATAAGACAACCGTGAGATATCTAGCGATATCCCACGCTCCTGGGAATTTTCAAAGAATTTGTTTTCGTTCAGTGTAAATAATTTAGTTCAATGTAAGTCAAAATGGCGGACGAACCGAGTAGATTCGTAAAAACATCTGAAGACTTAATGACTTAATAATATTAGGGATGTTTAGCTAGACAGTGATATAATAAAACAAATATTTCACTCTATTTTCGGTGAATACCTGTAGCACTTTCACAAGGTGATATTCCACTTGCCCTTCGGGCTTCGTGGAATATCACTTGTGAAAGATGTACAGGTATTCATCTCAATAGAGTGAAATATTTGTTCAATATTTTACACTAACTTGATCAGAAACAGAATTTTGAAGTGTCCAACTTATGTGCAGCTCTGTTTGCAGGTTATAATGTATAGCCCAACATACACCAATGGGGCACTTGAGACCTCCATAGAGTAACATTGAGCGGGACCTTGTGCGACTCTAAGGGGCAAGTGGGATTTTGCCCCAGTGGATTCATGCCTATGTTTAGCAATGCATAATATTTATAGGATATCCTATGATTTTGAGGAATATTGTTTTTATCTACGAGATGATATTGATATCTGCACAGGAGAGCAAAGCGAACGAGTGCATATATCAATATCACCGAGTAGATTAAAATGATATTCTGAAAAAATCATAGGATGTTCTTATTATCCTGCACTTACAAAGAGTCATCCTCCTAAGCAGGCTTCCAGAATCCGTACCTCCTTCTTACACCCTGCTATAACCAAGTTGGAAGCGCCCGATTAAACTGAATCACGTGATCTAATTATGCGCCGATGACGTATACATGATTTCTGTCGCAGTGTTGCGACAGCCAATCAGATTGCGAGTTCTTAATCGGGGTAGTGCTAACTGCTTATAGCAGGGTGTAAGAAGGAGGTACTGATTCTGGAAGCCTGCTTAGGAGGATGACAAAGAGTGTACTAAATGTATAATATCATTGCAAAATAAATTTCATGCCAAATAGAGTCAATTTGGCGGGAAATCAACAAGCGGAGTATATCGTCACAATATCTTCAGCATATTTGGTTTTCTGGAGTATATCGTCACGATATCCTCCACCCGGAGTATATCATCATGATATCCTCCGGTTATTCATTTTGCCAATAAATATCAAATTTATTTTTTAATGTTATTATACATTTAGTACACTAAGTGTAGGATAATCATTATTATGTCACCACCACAAGCAGTGTCATATTTTTATACTGTCCAACTTTTTGTGAACAGTGTTTGCCAGTTGGTGATTGGCATTCGGTGATTAGTGTTCTGCATTCGGCGTCTGTAACAAATGGCAGGTAGTGACATTTTGCATGTTAATGTCTGTACTTATTGAATTCCCGTGTGTTGTTATAGGGGAGATTCATCATGGGAAACAAGGTTGCAAGGACCATTGCTTTCTTCTATACAATGCTTCTACATTGCCTGGTCTTCCTGGTGCTTTACAAGGTGGCACATACGGAGTCATGTAAACGAGATCTTGCTGTCGATTGTCATCAAAAGTATGTATAATATACAGATATATAAGGGTTATGTACTGGGAGGTTTTGGATATAGGGTATATCCTGAGGGATATATTTATATTTGTTGACATATAGAATATATCCTGCCCGCTCCTAAGATACGATATATATTCCCGGGTGATATCTACCCCAAACCCACTCAAGTATGAGATACACATGTGTATCTCATACTTAAGTGGGTTTGGGGTAGATATCACTCGGGAATATATATCATATCTGAGGAGCGGGCAGGATATATTGTATATGTCCCACTCCAGGCCAAATGCGGGCAGATATAATATATCCATCCTGCTCCCGGGAATTTTTCAAAAGTTTAAAAAAGTTTTAAAAAGTTTTAAAAAGTATGAGATACACCAGTTATGCACGGTCGGTTTGGATACATGGAATATCCCTTGGGATATACAATACATCTTCCCTCGGGATATACAATACATCTTCCCTCGGTCCCTTCGGTCCCTCGGGAAGATATATTGTATATCCCTCGGGATATTCCCTGTATGCAAAACCTCCCAGTGCATAACCCCTATATATGTAATACAGCAATGTGATAATACCATGTTGGTTATTATCCCATCGAACGAAGTTCGGAGGGATATAGGGAACGCCTCCGTCCGTCCGTCCGTCCGTCCGTCCGTACGTCCGTCCGTACGTACGTCCATCCGTACGTACGTCCGTCCGTCCGTCTGTCCGTCCGTCCGGGCGATAACTCAAATACCGTTGGCCCGATTTTGTTCATATTTTGTACACATATACCCTATGGAGGTAGAAGTTCTGCTCGAAAGCCGATTTTCAAAATGGCTGCTCAATTCAAAATGGCGGCCATTTTAGTGCCGATTTTACAGTAATTTAGGTGCAATATGTAAAACTGTAATAGCAATATGTTTTAAATGTAAAAAAATTATGAAGGACATTAATAAAGCTATAAATGTAGACATTAAAGAAGCACATGGCAGCCATCTTGAAAAATGGCGGCCTTTACTCGTTATTTTACGATTTTTGCTATAACTCGAAAAGTAGTGGAGCGATTTTGTTCATATTTGGTATGTGAATACTATAAGCATGGCACACCGTCCTATGACACTTTTGGTAGAATGCGGCCATTTTGAAAAAAAAATTGTAACATATTTTACTATAACTCGAAAAGTAGTGAAGCGATTTTGTTCATATTTGGTATGTTTCATATGTGAATACTATAAGCATGGCACACTGTCTAATGACACTTTGGGTAGTAGGTGGCCATTTTGAAAATGGTCACCATTTTTATGTTTTTTACTATAACTTGAAAAGTAGTGAAGCGATTTGGTAATATTTGATATGTGAATACTCATGAGCCTTGCACACTGTCTCATGACACTTCAGATAGTAGGCAGCCATTTTATAAAAATGGCTGTCATTTTTACATTTTTTACTATAACTCGAAAAGTAGTGGAGCAATTTTGTTCATATTTGATATGTGAATACTTTAAGCATGGCACATTGTCTAATAAAACTTTGGGGAGTAGTCAGCCATTTTGAAAAATGGCCACCATTTTTATGTGTGTTATTTTACAAGTACATATATGCGATTTTTCAAAAATTTTATAGGTGGCTACTTAAAAGCATATTATTTCTTCTGATGACAACTGGACTAGTGAGCAACCGTTTTGAAAATGGTGGCCTTTCTGGTGTGTTGTTTTATGATGTTTGCTATATATTTCGTTCGTAAAAATGCCAGCCATTTCTGTTCGATGGGATTCGCTACGCTTTGGCGTTGCCGTTGTTCTGGTTATGCTATCACCAAAAAGTGGTGACATAAATGTTTATTTTCTAATGTTTGATATTTATATTTCAAAGTTTTTGATAACAATTCTTAATTTCCAATCATTTGAGGCCTATAGCTAAAATAAACTTGTATACAGTAACATTGGTACATATTGCTAAAGCCCATTTTTTATGTTTGAAACTACTCGTAAGTTAGAATTGTTTGTTTAGGAAGGATCGATTACACATTGTAAACAGTTTATAAAACAAAACAAAATTATGAAATTGATGAAATTTAAAGATATAATCTAAAAAGCACAAGAATCTAAAATTAGCCTTGTTTGGTTCAAGAATGCATATTATTTGAAATACTATGTTCTGTGGAATTAGATTGAACTATGGGACTGTGAATTCAAATGCTTGGAACTGCTCATACCCAATATTTTTAAATGGAAAAGCCCTAGGTTAATTAATGTTTTTAATTTTTCCAGGTTTGCTGAGCATATGTGGAATGTTCACGGACAAAATGATGGGCACGGAAGCTGAAAATCTTTAATTTTGCAACCTGTTAGACAAGACACATTTCTGGAAAAACATTATTTATAAAGCATGGAAAGTTTGATTGAAAATGGACTATACATTGTCAGTACAACTGTTGTTTTGGCCTTGGGACCATTTTTTAGTCTGGAACTAATAAAAGCCTTGAACTGAGAGTATATCAAAAAGGTAGAATATATAATTCCCATATTAAGATTGGGACAAAATGCTACTCTTATATTCTAATTTTTGACAAATTCTCAAGAAAAATACAAATATAAGGCTGTTTTAATATATTTTAGGCTTTAAGTTGTTAGTAATAAAGGTCAGTCAGTTAGGGGTTCCTAAATACTATAAATAGAACCCTGATGAATGGTAATTATTGAACCAGAATGATCTAGCTACATAAATATTGGTATACCACTCTGAAATTCCATGGGTAAAAATGATTTGTTGAAAAATGCTATGAATACTCTAAATAGTACCCTCCAGTACATAAATCTTATATATATATTATTTAACAACATGTATCAGTAAACGAAGGGTGGCATAATAAGTTGATATCAATGAATCATTTTATTCTGTATATTATTGTGTTTATTCTGTAATGAATATATGAGATATTCATAAGTGAATATATTTTGATTTTTGGATCATCAAACAAGCAAGCAAATTTTATTTGGTGTCATTTTGTGTATGTAATAAACATTAATGATTTAATTGTTCAATTATATTATAGAATTATTAATCTATTTTGGCTTTCATTTTATTGTGCAATATGATATAGAATATTAAACTCAGAATATTATTTTGAAATAGATAATGTATCTGGTGATGAATTATGCATCCCTTGTTCAATTGAGGTACCCATTGATTGATTGAAAACATATTGATTGATTGAGGCTTGATTGATCGATCAATCATGGTACATTGATTGTTTGATTGATAAATCTTTGGATTGATTGATTTATCTATCGATTGATTGAGGTTTCCATTGATTGAATTTGAATTATGTTCATATTTCTTATTTCCTACATTTTATGGAAAGCATATAACATACAATTACAATAAATTTTCAAACATGGTGGCTTAAAGTTTCTTAAAATGAGGGTAGTTATTATAAATACACTGTTGTGCTTGCTAGTACATATAAGAGTACACAGATAATTATGTCATTACCAGAACTGGTGACATATTGTTATAGTCTCTATGGACAGTGGTTGGTATTTGGCGTCTGTAACAAATGGCAGGTGGTGACATTTTTTAATCATTGTTTTCCATAGAACTAAGTAAACAAACTTAGAATACGCATCCGAGGAGAACTTGATACCATTGTATAATTTAAAGTATTTAATTTAGAGTATATTTAGAGAAAGCATGAATGCAGTTATAATACATGTAATATGTACATACGGGATATATATATATTTATAAAATACAAAATACAATAAATCTATTTTACTTGTGTCTCCTTTTATTTAGTATCCAGTATGTCTATAGCAACGAACGTCAATGATATAAGTATGGTGTTGTCTCTACTCTATGACAGCTTTATGACATCACCATTTTAGTCAGCACCATTATTATTATCAGTCCTTATCATAGCATCTCTTTGACCAAATAATAGATGTCATCATCGCAGCATCTCTATGATTCTGAAAACGCTCCCGGTAGACATTTCTCATATAGTCACTGTTCAAACCCAGTGAAAGTGGTATCTGAGAAATCCACACGAGTTGAACAAGTTAGACATACGTATTAATGATAGTATTAGGGAGGCTAAGATTAGCGTAAAATATACCTGTACGTATCCCTATCGCTATGTTTACTACGGATACGTAATGTAATGCGCTTTGTAAAATGAATTTTAGATTAGCCAACGCTGCGAAATCGAATGTAACAATTTATGATAAAAATGACATTATAATTATACATGTGGTCTAAGATACAAACCCCATTACAGACTATAGACCTGGGGGACACTGGTCAACTTTTTGTACAGGGTGGTACCGCTGAGATTCAAAATATCTACCCACATCTAAGGATTTTTTCTCTAAAAATGGACCCACATCTATAGTGTTTTTCTTTCACGAATAGACCCGCTTAAGTTTTAAAAAAGAAGATCCACTGGCTCCTCATCTGGCTAATAGCTGCGACAATGCATTTGTACCAAAGGGAAACACCTTCTAGTGATGGTTAGACCTTTAGACTGGTTTATAATACGAGTAACACCGTTTCAAGTACTTATATCATCCACATAGGCTTAGGTCGATAGAAATAATTTTTTTTATATAAAGATGGCAGCCATGGTAATCGATCTGTGTCTATCCATCTACCTATGAAAAGATAATACTGGATTCTGTTCGTGCTGCCATCTTTATATCGGCCCCGAACCTATAATTGTTAGATCGTTCAAAGCTACGAACAGAAAAGATTTTACTAAAATATGTAAAGGAGAGGAGAGTGTTTTAACTTTTACAAAAATATGTAAAGATATAACTACAGGAGAGTGTTTTAATTCTTACAAACTTGCACTCAGAATTGCGTCATGTTGAATGAAATCCCGCCGATGAACATTAATTTAATCATGGACTTCTAATAATTATTTGAAGTCCATGATTTAATGTACCGTCGACTGAGACCTGATTTGCCTGAGTGTCAATGATAAAAATGCGATGAAGGGTATAATGAGATGATAAAATCTCGAATACTGGGTATTTCCTGTGATTTGACCCCATTAAAATTTTATCCAGACAAACGAACTTAAATCCTTATAACATATATTCTGTGCGTCGACTACCAACTATTTGAAATAAAACGAATTAAAAACTATAGTTTGTGACTTATTGTTGTTTCAATGCGAAATAAACTTAACAGTAAACCAGTCATTGTTGAAAGATAAGTGGAGTTACATCTAAGTAAAATATAAGTTCAAAGTTCAAAAATAGTTTCTGTCATATAATATACAAATGCTATTATCATTCACATTTCAATGACGCGGTCGAGATAACGAGTGCGTTAAAAGTGCCGCCTTATGTCTGGCTTACAATTTTATGTAATCCAAGTTTGTGACCAATTTCCAAAACCCAATCCAAAGGTTCAGGTACGTTATCGCAAACAATTTCAGACGGTTGCATCTTGGATTATGACTATTTTCTGACCATGAAGATAGGTTTATCTTTTAGGCTAGATCCATTCATTATCTCAAAGAAAAGTGTAAACAATGATAATTAAGTCAATCAGACTCTGAGGTATTTAGCTAGCAATCAACCTATCGACATGCTTTTTTAAAGATGTTGAACTCATTTTCATCAAAAATGCAATCATATTTTAAGCATTAATATTCTTTATTTTGATGTATCAAATAGTTCTTGAAAGGAAAATTGAATTCCTCTAAGGTTAGTGTTCCCCATGTTATTTCCCCATTGGAAAACCTCTCTGCTATTCATTGGATTCAGCTCATTTTGGTCATCCAAATTCAGTATCGTTAAGTCCCTGGAAGAATCCACTTTTCCTTTTAGGAAATCGAACATGTCTCAAAGCACATTCTAATAATGCATTCAACAATATACGAGTAATATATATTATATATATAATATATAATAAAAGGTTGCATTTGTTGATTGGTCCATTGCCTCTTAAATATCACATGATCAGAAAATATTGATAATTCAAGATAGTATCGTCTTAAATTGTTTGCGATAACCTACGTGCTCCTTTACATTTTTATACGATTTTTGCATAATCGAACTCATCCGAAATTCCCCCATGCTATGTTAACTATTTATCTCGACCTTGGCCTGTTGTTGATAACCATTCAAGCGACATAATAAGCAGCTATCACTTTATTCTTTTTGCACTGTATGTTAACCTTGACGATTCAGGAAACGTAACATTTTAGTAAAGTGTAGGACCATGCCGTTTAAACCACGATTTCCACATAATCGAAAACCAGTTTATCAAATACAACCATTGTAAAACAGTCATGATCCAACAAGAAGTTATTGAAAACTGCAACAGTGTCCCAAACTCCGAAATATCTTATGCAACATTTACATCGAGGCCTCTAATAAATATCCAGAATAATTAACACAATGCTTTCATCTATGTTAAAATTATATTCTCTAATTTATATCTGGTTGAGTTACTATTTTTCTTTAGAAATTTGAAATATGGGAGTCTAGCCTCGCATCTTGGTGTCCCCAAAATGCTACCAAGATGCAATGCTTGCAGTTTCTTGAACTGGAATAAGAAGATGTTGTAAAACAAACAGGAGAACTGCACCCAGACATTGTTAAGGCTTTCAATTCAACCAAGATCATTATCATCATGGAACTAACAGTCCCACGGTAGGATAGGCTACAGGTTTGACACGAAATCAAAGCAGTAAAGTACAATGGATGTTAAACAAATTAATTAATACTATGGCGCCAAAAACACCCATCGCAAAACGAGTCCTATCCAATTACACTGAAATTCAATTATGTTGTTAACAAAGCAAAGCAATAATAATATAGATATTTGAAATAATGAGAACTTAATTGTTTAAAGAGGATTTTGGACAGCTGACAGGTAGAGCGTAATAAGTGCACTAATATCAACGGGTTTAAGTATTAATTTTCCGCCATATATCTACTAGGGACATTTATTTTATATTATGTGTCTGCTTTCTAACTAATGTTGGCATGGCAACATACTAAATATTAGTGACCCCTGTTTTTACCAGAACAGAATAATGTTAAAAAATTTTGACAATTATGTACAGATGCTGTAATATATTAATTTAATCGTAATAAGATCTATGAAACCATTGGATATGTGTGTCGCATCACAGTAACGAGTTTCTGTGAATTCTGTCTAGATCGACAAGAAATGATGTCATTGTCAGGATAATGCAAGAACAGACAAACGTTGTACCTGGCTATAGATATATTTAACAGTCCCCAAAAAGAATTTGTAAATAGAAACTCGTCGGTTTCCTCTTACGGCCTTCTATCTTTTCTTAGCTATACAGCCAAAATTAACCGTACGTCTCTAGGGGGCATAAAATAAACTGACTTTGCTTCCCATGATTTTGTTTCCAAAATCCTATTTCCATTCTCCCAATTTTGAGATTGATGATTCGGGGTATTGGATATCCAGAGTTTGCCGCAAAATAAATGATGACATATGGTATATCCAATTATTCAATCATTTGTAAAAGTCGGTTTATGCAAATAATGGTTATTAAAACTATTGAAATTTCATGCCTCGTCTCAAGTATTGATCTGTCATGTTCGAGGTATATCTTTGGTTAAGGCTAAATGTAAAATTATTTCATCCAGTACAATTACATTGAAGATAGCAAAAATACAACTTTCTAATTGTGAAATAACTTTTTTCAGTCATGATGGAATCTTTTTGTATTTCTGTATATTAATTAAATATTTTATCGACACGAAGATATCCAAGAAGGTTACATCATAATTAAGAGAGAAAATCAGTCAGAAATTAAGTTGTATTTTTGTTTCACCCTGTATATATTCGATTAACAAATCGAATTATACAGCTTGCTCTTAATTATTAAACACAATGGATAAACATGTCAATTTAGGTTTAATATATTTCAATCTACACTTGTATTTACGTTGTTACCTCGCGCTCAAACCACAGTTCGTGTAGTAAGATGACAAACTATCAATGTTAACCGATTGTCTTTAGCATCATGTCTTTAGTAAATAGGATACAAAATATGTTTACGTATGATACACATGCTGTCTGCATATTGAATTTAATTTACTCAAAGAGGCACTGTTTGTATTTAAGCTAGATTTCGATCCTAGGAGCCAGCTTACAGTGAATTTGGTGGAAAACTTTGCCAAAGTTCCTTAAAATTTGCCAAATTTTCTTAATTTTGGTCCAATTGATGAATTTTCAAGTAAAGTTTACCAACGTCCAACAATTGTGCCAAACAATTGCAAAAGCAGAAACATACTTGAAATACCATTTGGAATATTTAAGGGAAATTTTTTTTAATTTGGCCCTTTTCAAAAATCTAGACATTTTCAACAACAAAAAGTTACGTTCTAACTACTTTCTGAATAGGTCAGTAAGATAAATAGCTGAAGGCTATAACAGACCTCAACCACAAACCACAGGCATAGCTGTACTTTCAGTTACTTGTAAAATGTACTCTTCAAATAAATGGGAGGCAAAGATTAGCAAAAATGTGAGTCCCAAATAGACAAAACAATTATAAAAGTGACTCCTGACCAAAAAATAATATTATGTTGGCTTCCTTGAATCAAACAATGCTAAATTGTATGCTATGACTGTATGTGTTTCCAAAATGTATCCGGTTGTATCCTTTAATTGAAACATGTTCTTCATAGTAAATATTAGTTTATCATTGTATACGAGGGGTGATCCAAAAGTCTTGGACGCCTCGCTCTAACTTTGCTATTTCCTCATATAATTACATGAAAGTTTCAGAGAGTAAAGATCAACATCTTAACAACTTTGTGTATAAGTTTCAACAGAAAATAATATATTTCAGCTACTTTTCTAAATGTTTTTTAATACCGGGTCCCTGCCACCCGGAACGGTATTTAAATATAGCAAATCACGTCACAACTGTTATAATATGGCAAATACTTTAGGTGCAGGTGCACAACCTAACACCAGTCATGATATGAAAGAATTTCCGATTTTCAGTCTAAGTGCCATCTGCCATCATCATCTTCAAATATTAAGACCCACTTTTCAACATATTTTCCGCGAATTTGAACTCATCTTTCATACCGCTTTACCAATGAATGGAAGTCATTTATGAAACCGCCATTGCTTATGTGATACAAATGCTGCTGGAGTGCCACTCTAAACCTCATACAATGAGTATTAAAAAAAAAATTTCAACCCTCCTTTTTTCTGGAGAAAAGGAAGAAAATCACACGGAGCCATATCTAGACTGTATCGTGCATATGGTAGCTGCTCAAGGTCAATAATAGTGAAAATATCTTGTTCTATTCTTTGTTCCACTTTGATTTCTTTCATGTTCTGCATTTCAGCAGCCATCTTGCAGTAAAATTGATACCAGAATGAGGGTTGCTTGTCTGTCATTTTCTTAGAATTTGACATATACGGCCATTGTCATATGTGACATTATAACTAAAACACAATTAATTGGTTGAGTAGTAACAAAGGAAGTAAACTAACATGGTTTAACATTCAAAATTCAAAAAAAGATAGTGGCCAAGACTTGCGAAACAAGTGAAATGGTGGCAACATTTAAGGCTGAAAGTTACCATGTGCGAATACCGTTCCGGGTGGCGGGGTCCCTATATTAAAAACTATCTAGAAAACTACATAAAATATATCATTTCTCCATGAAATTAATACACAAAGTAGTTAGGTTGTTGGTCTTTATTATTGGAAAGTTTAAAGTAATTTTATCAAAAACAAACAAAATTAGAGCAGGGCGTCCAAGACTTTTGGATCACCCCTCGTATTGTGAATGGTTTTTATCCTTACTGTTTATAGATTTAAAAGAAATCTTTGATTGAGTTTTTTCTAACGTTCGAAACTTTGGTGCATCACGGGCATTGCATCACTGAACTTTCTAATGTTCAAAATTTATATCATGAATTAGACCATTTTGATGTTAAACCACAATCAGACAATGTCCACTTAGTTTAGTATACTTTAATTGTACAATTGAATTCATTTTGATGGTATTATATCAGTATTTCAGGCCTAAAATGCGAAGCGCAAATCAATCGCATCGCCGATCAAACTAGATATTTTCAGTCTATTTTACTCAAGATAAAGTTATAAATCTCACATATTTCCATCTTTATATACTTCAAATATCTTAGGTTATCAAATTACGATGAGTCACTGAAATACTGCAAAAATTAACTCAAAATTTGGATGGGGTTCGCATAATTGTCCAAAGGTGGTTTCAAATTTTGTTACTCTCTCCAAACCCCCTGTCCCCACGGCCCTGCTTTATGAAATGAATGGAAAATACTTGGTATCTTGTAAAGGACGTCCAGCCATGTTAGACTTGATGGATGTTCTATGTGTGCACTAGCTGCATGGTTTTTTGATGTGCCATTCTAATTTACAAATATATCTATATTGCGTAAATTGATCAATTTTACACAGTACAAACATGGAGATCGGTTTATTAAGTCGAGTTGCTATAACAACATTTTTAATAATATATCTATATGATACGGTTCTGGGTCAGGGACAACAGAAACAAGCAAGAAAAGAGTTAAAGAAGCAAAGAGTACTCGAGCTTAATGGGATCGTCGACAATGTGTTTGAAACATATTCAGAGAATATGCACCGTGAAGTAGATAGAACCATAGCAAGACTGAAAAATAACATGATGAAAGATTTAAAAGGAGCAGTTGAAGGCATATGTGCAAATTGGACAACTGCAAAGATAGGAGGTATGTCCTAATGGGAAGAGGGTCGAATAAGATACTGTAAATTGCTTTTATTTGGCGCTATTTAATTTGGCGGATTGGGCAAAATTTAAATTTTTGCAATTTACACTGTACCAAATCAATTTGTCATTGTCATGTCCTCTGTTGATGGGCTTGGTCTTCAGGGGCAACGTGAATCCCCTGCGTATAATTCAATCAAAATACAGGTTATTCTATACCAGGGAGAAAACCTTTGTCCTGGACTGAATCGCCTGGATTAGCTGACGACATACGGATGGTTAGATAAGTTGATGTAACCTGAACTCTTTTACTGTAACAGTGAAGGGGGGGGGGGCAAACTCTCAGATATGACCTTACAATAACTTCTCTTGCTTATCACTTTCTTTTGTCTGAATTTCCACCATCAAGTAATTTCAAAATTAATATCACATGTCGATGTGTGCATCAATGTAAGCACATTCCTTACATCTTTCTTTATCTTGACTTTGACAAGATATAATATTGGTAAAATCTGAGACCATCATTTATGTTAGTCTCAGGTAAAGTTGACGGAATGAATTAACATCATATTATTCGAAGTGTTTTACAAAATTTTGAAGCCGCCATTTTGTTTTCGTCATTTGACCAATCAGCGACGAGGAGCATGTCTATATGAATTTCCATTTAAAACGGGTCATCCCTGAACCCTGGGGTATTCTCTTCCTCCTCTGATATTGTATTGCACTGTATTATACAGGGTGGGCCAAAAGCAATACCCAAGTTTAAAGATGAATATCATATATTTAATATATGTTAAACCATGCCATCTATTATATATCATTTTATGATATATTGTATTGTATATTGTACTGATACCAGTTGAGTCATAAGCGACTTGCTGAAAAAATGATCTGTTTTGTTGTGGACCTAAAGACTTAAAGTGACATCAGGGTTGTCATGAGTGACCACAACTGCTCTCAATATGCTTAACTAAATCATTAGAAATTTATTTAGGGGTAATATACAATTGAAACTCAATTAAAAAGATGGAAGTATTATGGGTGAATTTTGCATTAAATTCGTATAAATGAATCCATTTTAAAGGTGCCAAAATTTCAAATTTCCTCTTTTTTCCACCAATTTGAAATCAGCAGTGAATAATTTTTTGTACTGTTATTGAATCAAATTGTATTCCAGCATAACATTGCATTGTGATTTCATTGCAGTGGTCGATGACAAAGTGCTGTGGAGACAGCCGGCCTGGGACCAACAGGACATTCTTGGTAGCGACTGGGACACTGTGAGATGGAGCTGGGGAAAAGGATCTACAATAGAAGTAAATATTTGGTTCACTCTAATATTACCGTTGTGAAAGAAATTATGGTCCCCTGGGAATTATGGTCCCCTTTCTAAACGGCCCTTGTTGGCCCTGATTGTGTATAAGATAATAAGGGAAAGGGTTGTATTTAGGTCACCATATAAATCAATGAAGAGTAGGACCATAATTTGAGAGGACCGCCTACCCTTTTACACCGTCAAAGACAAAATAGCATCATATATTGAAAATTAGCCTTTTTGAAAAATATGTTGTTTATGGCCCCATTTTTAATAAAATGAGCTGAAGATTTCAAAAAGGAGCCGACGAGGATTTTCCGAACTATTATTCGCCACCCACTTTCACTCTTCAAACTGACAGATTAGGTCTTTTTGAACTCTATGGAACACCCCTCGTTGAATAATCATAAAGTAGTTTTACAATTCTTTGTAATCAAGGTCACTTCAAATCCAGTAGGGAGTGGTCAAGTCCTGCGAGCTTTCTACCCTCAGGATAGCTATATAGGAAACCCAGACAAATCAAAGAGAGGGGGCGGATCATTCAGATCTAAACCCATTGGACCTGGGACATCCAGAACGCTTTCTTATGACATATACTTTGCACCAAATTTTGACTTTGTAAGAGGAGGAAAGCTTCCTGGCCTATGGGGAGGCTATGGGAAGTGTAATGGTGGTGTAGTGGATCATAGATGTTTTTCCACAAGGTTCATGTGGCGTGGCGGTGGATCTGGGGATGTCTACCTTTACAGGTACGAGCTCGAGACTACTGTAACAAATTTTTACTTTTCAAGTTTTCTGTTCTTTGTAGTCCTGTGCCATTTTATCAGTTCGCTTACAGTTAACACATTTGGAAACTGTTTTTCAGTTTGTTTGACAAGTAGTATACTTACATGAATGTATGTGACACTAAAGGAGTAGGCAGAATCATGTAAACTGTTCGATTTTGTGAGATTTCATTTTGCTTTCATTTGTTTACATTTTTCTCATCTTACTTTTGAAGAGCTATGTTGACCTACATTCGATTACTCGTTTTTCCTTGCAATTTCGCCATATTTAGAGCCAATGATGATTGGTTTTTGTTATATTTATTTAGTTTATATATTAATCTAGCTAGTTAATTACAAGATATGTGTTCGTTTTGCGTTAAACAACGGAGATCGTGACTGCTAGGTGAAGCCAATTATTTTGCAAAAGTTATGTCATCATTGCATCATAGTTATTTATTCTGCACTAGTGTTGTCCTGCCTGGGATTCTAGTGACTGGCCAGGTATTGCATCAGCCCATTAATCACTGATAGGTTCGTGTGCAAAACCTAGTACATGTTACATACATGTCTGGGGTATAAATAGAGACGACCAGCACTGCGTGAAATATGGGATTCCAACTCTTGACACGTCTAGAAACTGGTCTTTACACGCCGGGTTTCTAGACGTGCCAATTATTTACACCTCTTGACACGCGATGAATTCAACTCTTTACACCTCTTTGCACTTCTTGGCACACGCAGTGCAAAGACGTGTAAAGACCATGTCAAAAAGTCTTTACACGCCCTGTGACAATTAATGGAATCTCTTGACACGCTCTTGGCACACTGAACAACATAATTATGTGTAAACAACTAACCTAATTACCAATAGCAATACATACAGTATTTTAACGATTGCAAGTATTTTCTCTGATACTTTTAATTGATATATTTTTAATCATTCTTTCGCAGACTGTTTGGAACAAGTACATGTAGCAAATATTAAACAGACTATTTTGTATGTACGCTGACACATTGACTTATTTAAACATTTTGGCAATTTCATGGCGCCTTTTGAAAATATAAATCAGTTACAGGCAATGCTAATCGACGCATTGATCCTAACTGAAGGAAATACATATCATGATAAGAAAAAGAAAGGCGTTTCAAGGATAAAACGTGCAATAAACTTTGAAAACATTGATACATCAGGCCTATTTATATATTTATTTTGTATTAGCTTAATATAAAGATAACCTTACTTTTCGATGAGTATTTGGATTTCGGAGTAATTTGTTTCAAGTTAAGTCAATACAAATTATCGCCGACTTAACTTGTGACCATATAAATGAGGGGCATTTTAATACACAATTGGGCAAAACAAGCATATTCAATCGAATGTACCATTCTCTCTGCTGTTCTTTCCCAGCCTATCCATAAACAGACAGGTACAAGTTCCCATAGTTTTCGCAACATCTAATTCTATGATCAATTGCTAGACACAGCAAATATACTAATTAATTGTCTGATTGTGATTCGGGAACGTAGGGTTTTTACATAAACAGGATACTTGGCTGTACATAGCCTGAGAACACCGGATTGACCCCCCCCCCCCAATCGACGCCTAGGCGCTGCTTATGTTTTAATAAGAAACATTCCCTTGTAAAGAATTATCGGGATATGAATTGATACAAGGTCAAGTATTCTGCCCCTTTTGTGTGATAAAAATATGTATTTAATTGGTGCTTTAACTTTTTGAACAAAGAAATGAAATAATCGCACTGAATGTCTCAACATAAATCAGTGATGTTTAATTAATAAATGACACTATTATGTCAGTCTACGCACTTCATGGACATGGACGGGGGGGTGTGAGTTACCCATTCTAAAATGGTTAAATTTTGTATTAAAGAGTAATCAATAGGTCGTGAACTCCGATTGATAACCAACTGTAGCATACTACTTAATTTGTTTGACTATTGATATTAAAAAGGAGTGAATTTATGATATTCATAGAGGTACATTGTATTGGTATTAATATAATAATGATATTGGGGACCATAAACCACTTTGTTTCGCAAGTAGCTTTAGGATCGCGGTTTTATCTTCACATGTTGCCCTTTGTGCAATTCGAAAATGAAATATTTTAATCTATAATTTATATATCATTTGCAAAATAAATGTAATTAAGAGACATGGGGGAGGGGGGGGGGGGTTAACGGCCAGAATTTGGAATGAATTTGGGAATTTCAAGGATTGATTCACTTAATGTTGTTCACTGGAGTCGATACACACACCTGCATAACAATCGGAGACAAAACTGACTTAATCTGATATGATAACAAAAGATTAATAACTTAGTCTATGTTTTTGTTTTTATAATTGCGGAAGTGTACCAAAACCACCTTGATTACAGAAGATATCGTCTAGGCTTTAGATTTAATGAATAGATTTTTTGCCCTAGTCTCATTTAATAAAACAGGCTATTTGCGTATTAATTAATATTTGTGACAAAATATTTCAGTTAGACTCAAAATCAAAACGAATTTCTCCATTATAGCCCCCCTTGCAACTGTCCCGAGTCTGCATCTGTTTTTCATGCTTCAGATCCAACTTTGGGATAGAGAGAATAGATGTAGATTTGTAATTTGGGGGGGTGGCATTAAATGTGTTCTCATACAAACTAAAATAAACCCCAAAAAGCCATATCAAATGTCCAAACACAAGACCAATGCCATGTCAAACATCCAAATATAGAACCAATGCCATACCCCCGGGTACCAAATATCCAGAATATAAGACCAAGGCCATTCGAAATATCGAATGCCCCGAGAAGAAGGCAGATCTTTGAGTAAAATGATCATAAACAACCTCAAATGAAGGATATGTGTAACAACTAGACCAATGCCCCGGGACCAATGCCGTACCACAATTGAGGGGTAACATATTTTCCATAAAATTCATACTCATGTTAATAGCGGACGCCTTGGCCAAATAATCTTTCAAATCATGCACTTTCCAAGTGATTTTGTAGCAAAATTGTGATAATATATGAACCCCTTGGAATTTTTCAAAGACGGACCCCCGCCAGCCCATCCCCCATTCTTACCTATGCTAAACACTAAGATAAACATATAGAATGGTATCTTACACTTTTTTCTAAATGTTGATATCCAAAAAACATATATTTTTGGTTTATCAACACATACCGCTCACAATATAACAAGTATACAGATTGTAACATAGGTAAGCGAATTGGGGAAAATTACAATCCCTTTGATCAAATTATTATAAGATTTAATCTCCAGCTGAGGTGCAATCAAAATGTTGATACACATAATTAGCAGTCAGAAAGATGCTCTTACCACTGAAGTTTTCAATATTCCCTTTGTTGTAACATCTTATTTCAAAAGAATGGATATTGATGGTTGTATGGAAGTATTCATATCAAACATTCACATTATAGTTTACAGTGGAATTCCCTCCATAAATGCAACATATTTACCATTTAAGATTTCATATTGGACTTTCCGCATAATGATAAAATGTTGACGATATAGTTTTCGATAAAACCCCAGGGCCGCAGCCAGCTTTCAGTCGGGTAGAGGGGTGATGCAATCACGAAAATATTTTAGGTTTTCAGTCGGGGGGTGCGATCGTGACATAAATGAGGCAAAAAATATTTGTTTTGAATTTTTACGAAAATGATGCAACTTCCTTCAAACCTGAGCTAGAAGCTTCAAACAAAAAATCAATTTAATGCTCTTTTCTTCCTCTACCTTATGGTACCTTTTATTGCTTGTAGGAGAGGGTGCGAACCCACCGCTTCTCCTCGTTACGCTTATAAACCCAATAACGTATTCCCAAGGAATCGACTTTATTAATTTATATGTGAAAAATGAGCTTGCATGTACAAATTGCATCGTATGCAAACCTTCCCCCCGGGGGGTTCACTGTATATAAACTCGACGGGGGTCCTAGGCTGAAGCCTCAAATATCAATATGTATCCATACCAATCTGTCAAATTTCAATATGTTCCCATACCAACCAAAATAACGCCCAAAGGCCATACCAAATGTCCAAATATAGGACCAATGCCATACCAAATGTCCAAATATAGGACCAATGCCATACCAAATGTCCAAATATAGGACCAATGCCATACCAAATGTCCAATTATGGGACCAATGCCATACCAAATGTCAAAATGTAGGACCAATGCCATACCAAATGTCTAAATATGGGACCAATGCCATACCTTAATTCAAAGTAAATGAAATATAGGATCAATGTCATACATGTAAATTTTGCAAATACGACCAATCGCCATACCTCAAACCAAGGACAAATGCCATACTGTAGTTGGGGTCATAAATGACCAAAATAACACGACTAACACTTTTACTCATAGCGATACATCACATAAAATGTTCGAATTCAGTTAAATATATTTTATTTTAAACATCTTACTCTTATCTTTGGCCCAATTTCTAGTCAATACATCAGTCCTAGAATGCATGATACTAGATAATAAAAATGAGATTCAACCTTAGATAGTTGACTAGACTTACTGTACTGCTTTAATTTGGCAAATTGGGCAAATTTTGAAATATTGGCTACTATTTAATTTGATGGATTGATTCATCAGTAAAATATGGATATTAAAGGGTTAGCTAGGAAGTCACATGGCCAGATTTCTCTTGGGTGAGAAAGTTTTTTTTACCTTCATGTACTATCTACAAAGACCATTCTCATACCAGAAGAGCAAAAGTCCGACCATTGCCATACCTCAGAAGTCAGAAATTTCCGGCCATTCCCATACCAAATCCTAAAATATGGGTCCATTGCCATACCAAACATTGAAAAGGGTACACCACATGTGCCGAGGATCCCCGTCAAGGTTTATATATAGTGAACCCCCCGGGCCTTCCCCTGACCGACCCGGTCATGTTTATGTCTTTTGAATGATGTCTACCCCTTGATGCATGCATCCTTTAATAAG